AAAAACAACTCTGTAGAAGGAAATCATGATCGCAGCAAAAGGTTTGTCGAGCAGGGTCCAAAAGGCGATTCTAGTAGGATCCCCAGTCCCCTTGGTGATGTAATGCTTTGGGGTACCTACGTAAGTAACATAGATATAAGGAAAGCGCCTGACACTTATGTTAGGTCATCTTAGACTTACAAGTTCAGCATTATGGAAGAAAACAGAGAACGGGACCTCAGGATGGCAGCATTATGTAGAAGGTTAGGACATCTATGGACAGGCAGGAAGATTGTTGCCTTAGACAATGTTGTGACCGAAGCAAAACTGCAAGAGTGTGAACGTACTGTCTTTGGCAAAATCCATGGAAGTCCTTCTGTCAACTTCCAAGCTTTCCAAGCCACTATGAAGAAAGCCTGAAAAACAAACATAGTCATCTGTAAGCATCTACAACCTAGTTTGTTTTCCTTTGAGTTTGAATCTATTCAGGAAAGAAATAAAATACTGAATTCTGGACCATGGTCGTTCTCAAGCCATTTGTTGGTGATTAAACCATGGGAGCCAAGCATGCCACCACAATGTATTAGATTCGACTCATGTACCTTTTGGGTTCAAATTCATGGCCTACCTATTGAAGGAACAACTGAAGAAGGAATTAGAGAAATTGCTGAAAATATAGGGGAAGTTTCAGAAGTGCGAATAGAAACAAAAGGATATGCATCAATTGTGGTGGGGAGAGCTCGAGTTGTGTTAAAATTATCAACTCCCCTCTCATCGGGCATGCTATCCAGCTTTAGAGATAAGGAGCATTGGCTAGATTTTAAATATGAAAGACTTCCCCACTTTTGCTACTCCTGTGGGATAATAGGGCATTATGCAAAAAATTATGAACTAGTGCCTTATGTTGAAGACTTCATTTCCACATATCAAAAACTATTTTATGGACCCTGGCTCAAAGCTGAAGAGGCCTCTATCAGCCCCTTTTGGAAGGCCTTTTATGGGGATATTCTGGAAGGGGAAGAAGGGCAGGGGATGGAGTAGGAGATGGTGCCGGAAACCCCACAAAATGCTGGACAAATTACTTTGGTTCAGAATGTTGCAAGTAGCTCACATACCAGACTGAACAACAGACAAGAGGATAGGGGAAAGAGGAAACTTACTAAAAAGGAACTTATCGCCATAGCATGCAATCAGGAATTAGAAGAAGATGCTCATCCTGATTCAGCTATCCCACTGCAAATCGAACTAGCATCATCACAGACAATGAGTGCTGGATTGCAAAGCAAAAACAGAAAGCTAAAGGTAAGAAATTACAAGAAAGGCAAAAGATATGAACCGTATGATCAGAAGAGTCCCAAAGGACAAATGCTAGATGAAGCACGGCTCTTAGAAACTCCAGTGCACTTTGCAAAAGAACCTGAACAATGGGCTATGGTGGCTAGCCCTAATAAGCCACCGGGTTACAAGTGAAGCTTTTCTGTTGGAACTGTCAGGGGTTGGGTCCACCCTTGACGGTTCAAGCCTTAAGGGCCATTATGGCCCAAGAAAGACCCGATGTGGTATTTCTTATGGAGACCAAGAATCAAGAACATCTAGTACGTCGTTTAAGCAGAAATTTAAACTTTCAGAACTGTTTTACTGTTAATCCAGTAGGGATTGGGGTGGGGGGGGGAGGGGGGCGGTTTGGCTCTGCTGTGGAAGAGTGGGATTTCATTAACTGTCAATTCAGCCACAAATGAGTTCATCGATATTACCCTTTTAGGATAATGAGATGGCCCAACAATTCAGGGCTATTTTTGTGCATGCACCAACAATGTTTCAAGACAAAATACAATTATGGGAAGAGTTGAAACAACTGAGTATACAGAACAACTTGCCTTGGGTGTGTATTAGGGACTTTAATGAAATCTTGAATTATTGGGAAAAACTGGGGAAGCGGCCTCCGCAACAATATAGAATGAATGCATTTAGAGATTTCCTCAATACCTGTGGATTAATGGATTTAGAAAGCAAAGGTTGCGCATTTACTTGGGCTAGCAATCGAGAAGCCCAGGATTATGTTCAAGAAAGACTGGACAGAGCAGTTTGCAATATTGAATGGAGAATATGTTTCCCTCAAGCTGAAGTTTTCGCTTTACCGGCTATCGGATCTGATCATAGCCCCATTGTACTAGCCTTATCAGCAGAACCAACTAGAAGAAACAAGATGTTTAGATTTGAAGCATTTTGGATGGAAAATGAGGATTGTGGGAGGTTAATCAGCCAAAGCTGGAATCAGAATAGGTTACAACAATCTAATCTAGTGCAAAAAATACAAGCAGTCTCAATCGAATTGACCAGATGGAGTAGGAAAAATTTCCACAACAACCACAAGCAAATCAATGCATTGCAACAACAGTTAATGGCCTTGACCAATGATCAGACTTTGTATGACAATCAGAATAGAAATAGGGTTATAACTGAACAGATTGAAACATTGTGGAGACAGGAGGAAATGTACTGGGGCATAAGGTCTCGAATCAATTGGCTGAAATGGGGAGACAAAAACACAAAATACTTCCATGCGACGACCATTCAGAGAAGACAGAGGAACAGAATATCTATGCTAAAAAACGCTGACAATATGTGGATTCGTGATACCCAGACACTAAAAGAGATAACAATGGAATTTTTCCAACAGCTATATAGTTCAGAGGGCCCCCAAGAATTTCAACCTGTTTTGCAACAATGTCCAACTCTTGTCATGGCTGAAATGAACCAAGAACTGATGGCTCAAGTCACAATGGAGGAGATCCATACAGCAGCTTTTCAATTGGGCTCTTTGAAGGCACCGGGACCGGATGGTTTGAATGGCCAATTTTATCAAAGAAACTGGGATGCTGTAAAAAGTGGTGTTTATGATGAAGTGAAGAAATTTTTCTATTCTGGAAATCTGAATCCAGAATTAAACAGAACTCATATCACCTTGATCCCGAAAGTTCCTAACCCAGAAAGCTTGGATCAGTTCAGACCAATAAGCCTATGCAATTTTGCATACAAAATTATTTCGAAAGTCTTGACAAATAGATTGAAAGAGTGGCTACCGGTTATAATAGGAGGAGAACAGAGTGCATTTGTGGCCAGAAGACAAATCTAAGACAATATTCTGATTGTTCAAGAAGTCCTCCATTAATTGAGAATCAGAAAAAGAAAAAAAAAATTTCAGGCGGTGTTGAAACTTGATATGAAAAAAGCCTATAACAGGGTAGAGTGGGATTTTCTTGAAGCAAGCATGTTCAAAATGGGTTTCAGCAAATGGTGGGTAAAGAGAATAATGCAATGTGTAACTTCTGTCTCCTTCGGTGTAAAAATGAATGGGGAACCATTGCCCTATTTTAAGCCAACATGTGGAATATGACAAGGGGACCCCATATCTCCCTATTTGTTCATAATGATAGCAAACACACTCTCGGCTTTGATGAGAAAGGCAATACAAGATGGCACAATCTCTGGAATTAAACTAAACAGGTACTGCCCAACTCTATCTCATCTCCTCTTTGCTGATGATTCCATCTTCTTCTTAGATGGCAAGCTTACTGAATGTCAAAATCTTGCATTGATCCTAAATCAATATTGCTATGCATCTGGCCAAGCAATCAACTTAAACAAATCTGGTATATTCTTTAGCTCCTGCTGTCCACAGAACTTAAGAGACAATATGGCTGCTGAACTTAGGGTTCCAGAGAACAAGAAGACTGGCAAATACTTAGGGATTCCTTCGGATTGGGGAGAATCAAAGAAACAAATGTTTAGTTGGATTTTAGCAAGAGTCAATATAAAACTAGAAGGTTGGAAGGAAAAACTTATTTCAAAGGCAGGAAAAGAAACACTGATTAAAACTGTTGTTTAAGCTCTTCCTCAATATGCTATGTCAATATTCAAAATTCCAGTTTCAATTTGTCGGTCCATAGAAAGAAGGGTTGCAGCATTCTGGTGGAAAAATTCTGAAGCAAGGAAAGGTCTTCACTGGAAGAGGTGGGAAGTTCTAAAAACCAGAAAAGATAGAGGGGGTTTGGGATTTAGAGATCTAACATCTTTCAATAGAGCAACGCTTGGTAAACAAGCATGGAGACTATCTCAAAACCAGTCATCATTATGGAGCCAAATTCTAAAATGAGTTTATTTCCCTACAAGATCATTCTGGCAGTCTGGGAAGGGGACTTGACCCTCTTGGGGATGGCAGAGCATACTGATGGGCAGGGAGAAAATATCAAGTTCAGTCATGTGGTCAGTTCACACAGGGGACAAAATCAGTATTCGGGAAGATAGGTGACTCAAAAGAGGAATAATAGGAGGACCAGCAACCAGTCAAGAACCGGCTAAAGTTGCAGACCTAATTAATCACGAGGACAGATCATGGGATGTAGATAAGTTGACAATAATATTTGAAGATCAGATTGTCCATGAGGTGCTAGCAATACCACTTTGCAGCAGAGCAACAGAAGATAAACTAGTATGGACAGCCACAAAGTCGGGAGAATTTACGGTGAAGAGCGCATACAACCAAATCCGTGACAGAGAATTCCCACAGAAAGAAAGGCAAGCATCATCATCTTTCCAGCCGTCCCCCAAACTGTGGTGCCGAATATGGAAATTAACAATTCCCCCCAAGGTAAGACATTTTCTATGGAGTGCATGCCAAAAACGCCCTCCCCACGACAGAAAACATCTACAAGAGGAAAATATTACCTCATCCAGCTTGCCGTTTCTGTAATCAAGAGGCTGAATCAGTGGAGCACCTCTTTTTAATTTGCCCTTGGACAGCAGCAATTTGGACAGACCCATCAGTTCACATCAAAATCGCATGCAAGGAAATCACATGAATTGAGGTATGGATTCAAAAATATCAACAATAGCCTCACAAATTGCTATCACTAGATGAGATTGCTATTATCCTGTGGTTGATATGGAAGGCCAGAAATGAGTTTGTCTTTCAAAGAAAACCCCCAAATCCGAGAACCTTAATTGAGTCGGCAAGGATTATGACTCAAAACAATAGCAGGTGGAATCAACAAAGCTCAAATTTGTATACTGAACAGAGACTGTTACCTCAGCACTGGAACCCACAGACGAAGAACTCCTTCAAAATCAATATTGATGGATCTTTCCTTGAACATGCAACAGAAGGAGCAGTAGCCGGGATCCTCAGAGACGCGATTGGAACTTTGCTCGACGGCTTCACCGGGATAGTTCCGGCTACTTCATCGCTACACACAGAACTGCAAGCGCTACTGCAAGCGCTCCAAGCTTTCGTCGCCTGGAGAAACGAGCACATAGTGCTGGAGACGGACAGTCTTTTGATTGTCAAGATGTTGAATGAGCAAGGTCAAGTTGGCTGGGAAGATGAAGCTGCTGTCCACGAAGCCCAAATCCGTTTGGCCCACTATAGCAAGATAACTGTGGCCCATTGCAACCGAACCGCCAACCAAGCTGCTGATTGGATCGCTAAGGCACAACGTCAAAAATCTCTTTTTTCGTCTTGGCTCATGCGTCTCCCCCAACCTTTATGGGAGTTATTATGTTTTGATGCTCCCCTGTCGGGCTGTAGATCCAAGAACTCTTAAGTTTCAATCGAAGTGTTTCTTTTTTTACCAAAAAAAAACACATGTATGTGCATACATAGAAACATAGACGACGAGGAAAGGAAGAAGGATCATCATACTACCTGAACTAGATTCCTATGAGCCGACCAAACTTAAATTAAACCCGTCAAAATCACGGTTGCCTTCTTCTAAATAGATAATTTTGATTTTCGGACAAAAATAAAAGGACTATACCGGTGGTGTTACCCTTATTTAGAATTGCTAAGGTAAAAGCTATTTCGTATGGAAAATAGCGCAAGTGAGAATTTTCATCCATTTTCCTTTTTTCTCCCTTTCATAACCTGAAATGAGTAAAATACTTTCTTGGTAATTATTTTTAGGAAAAATGATTTAAATGGTTCCTCAACTCACATTCAACATGTAATGTCGTATATGAACTTTTAATTTATTCAACGTGATCTTTAAACTTTAGTCCATTTTGTAATGTCACCCATTGATATTTAATTTGTTTAAAATGATCCCTAAACTTTTGGTATGGGCTCGATTTAGTCTCTAGATTATATGAAAATGTCCGATATTATCTTTCTATCAATTCAAGTTAACGGAATTTGCTGATTTGGCTTCCAATCCAGTAAGTTTGAATGGTGGACAAAAAAAAAACATTACACGTGAATTATCTATGTAAGATATTCAACTCAAATTAGAATTTAATAATCATTTTAATTTGTTTAGTTTGTTCGGTTTAAAGAAAATGATTATCCATGTTATATGATGACGTGATTACTATATTTTGATTTGAGTTGAATATCTTACATGGATAATCCATGTGTAATGCTATTTTTTTGTCTGTAGTTCAAACTTATCGGATTATAAGTTAAATCAGCAAATTCTGATAACTTGAATTAATAGAAGGGTAACTTTAGACATTTTCATACAGTGCAGGGATTATGTTGAACATTTACACAAAGTTCAATGACCACATCGAATAATTAAAAGTTAAGGGACGACACTGCATATTAGACTAAACTTTAAGGATCACATTAAAAAAATTAAAAATTTAGGAACGACGTTGCAAATTGGGCCAAAGTTTAGAGACCATTTAGTTAATTAAGGCCAATGCGTTCATGGGTGCTAGTAAGAATTTGACATGATTTTTCTTTTTCGATCGTGGACTATCAATATATATTTTTTGGTCAAATGGATTATCAATATTTGTAACACCAAAATCTCGACAAGAAAAACCACAATTAGTCTTATAGCAATAAAATTTTTCAACGTGGACATTGCATTTAAGCTTTTCACGTCAAGCTCTTGCCAACTTCGATTGACATGCCGACTCCAGTTAATCGAATTTGGAGTCGGATGGATTCGATTATAAAAGTTAATGCGAGTTCCAGAGATTCGATAGATAGATCAAAATTTAAGGATTGGATTGCAAAAAAATGCACAAATTCAGGGTTCAGAAGTGGAATTTTACCCATTTTCTATTAAGCCCACGAGCAGGACACAGCTCAACACTTCAATAGCCCAATGGTACAGGCCCAAGCCCAATCGAGCTCGGATGTGGCGGGAAAATCTCCCATTCGCAATCGTCCTCCTCGTTTCGCCACCATTTTCGCAGTTTCTTTTCTTCTAGGGTTTCCTTCATTCATCGCTCCGAATCGATCGGAAAGATCAAAGTCCACCGGAACTCCGACGGAGATCGAGCTCCTGAAGGAATCAAAGCCGCAATGCCGACGTACGAGATAAGGGGGATCGATGTGGATTTCCCCTTCGATGCCTACGATTGCCAGCTCGTTTACATGGAGAAAGTCATCCAATCTCTCCAAGAAGTGAGCTGTGGAAATTGTTGCTTTCGTCGCGTACCGCATAGCTTGTTTTTACTAAGTGCATGCTTACATAGCTTTGTTTGGTTGCATATCGTTCATTCGAATCGACACTGGCTTTGTTATCTGGAGCTATGTCGTATGGTAATTTTGTCGCTCCGTTGTGTAGTAAGTGGACATTGTCGATGATGTTACATCACATATGAAATATGATCAGTTGATGTTGTGATTTCTATCAGACTAGAGAAGTTTTCGGTGTCTCTTCGAATTTGGTTTTCAAAATTCGTAGATGGACATGTTTTAGAACGAGAAAATATTTTGGTATGACAGATCATTCTGGCCAAGGAGGGAGTATTGCGCCCCACAATCTTTTAGTTCGGATGTATATGTTTCATGGTGATTTTGATGGTATAATTGCACTTCGTATGTTTCGTCCCTTAAGAAATCTGTAAAAAGGTGGGAAGAATTCTCTTTTTGTTCTCTCATATTGAACAACTCAAATGAACTCTTCTCTGACCACCGCAAATATCCACGCTCTTGCATCTTTAGCTGAATATATGAGAATATACCTTGAGTATCAGTAATGCCTTGGGGTGACATCGGGGGATTTAGAAAAATTGAATGCAGTTCACTTAATTTTGTAGTACCTGCTTATTCTATTGTGAAAGGGTATTCCCTTCTTCAATCTTTCATTATGAAATAAACTCAGCTTATTCATCATGATCTGTGGATTTTATGATCTTATAGAGGTGTAATGCTTTATTGGAGAGTCCTACTGGAACTGGAAAGACATTATGCCTTCTTTGTGCTACTTTGGCGTGGAGGAAGAGCTTGGGAGGCTTCTCGACTGGTTCTGCTAAAAAGGAAATAAGTAGTCAGCCAGACTCACTGTCTAATTCTAATGTAAATAATCTTCCGACCATAGTGTACACTTCGCGCACTCATAGTCAGCTGCGTCAAGTGATTCAAGAACTGAAAAGAAGCAACTACAGGTCAGAATTTTTTTTTTCGCCTCTGCACTTTTTCCCTTATACAGTCCGTATTTTGTTTGCATATCAGTTCCGCTCTGAGACTGTTATCTTGTTTAAATAGCTCCTGAAATTGGTAAATCTACCGCCTTGTCATAATTGGTCTCAATTTGGCCCGCAGGCATCTATGCAGTATGCTAGTATGTGCCATATATCAATATTTCCTGTTGTACTGCAGTAGAAGCAGCCATGAGTGTTAGATTTTTTCCTAGCAAATACATACAGCCAAAATTGTATCTGGCTTCTTAGTAATATATCTATGTCTTGTGTTTAGTCAACTTGTTGATTTAGAAGTTTGTCCAATTTGCAGGCCTAAGATGGTGGTCTTAGGTTCTCGAGAGCAATTATGCATCGATGATGAGGTTAGTTTGCTTCGAGGAAGAGCACAAAATAATGCCTGCCATTATGTTTGCAGAAAGGGTGCAAAGCGTCGCTGCAAGCATTATTCTCTCGTCACTGGTAATTGGAGTGTTTTTCTAGTCCTCCATAAGTGTGGCTACTTAGCAGATGCATTTCAATAGGTGGCAATATATCAATTCACAATATATATGTTTTGCAGTTTTTCAACTATAAAAACGTGAAGTAAGTTTTTTATTTCACGATCAGAGGGTGTTGGTAGTTTCTCCTTTATAAACTTTTAGTATCTTGACATGTATTACATGTTATCAGAACTAACGAGGAAAACATTTTTGATTTTTCTTTGACATATCAAAATAGAGAATATTTAGCATTAGTTTGTTATTATACTTCGGTTTAACTCATTAGTAGCTGTCTCCTTTACTTTAATACATTACCAACTGCCCACGCTGTTATGCTGGCAATTTTATTGGTTTCTATCTTTTAACACACTTGAGTAATCTGGCTTCATACAATTATATCTAACTTTTGTGCATCTCCATGCTTTCTATAAGACTATGTGAAGAACAATCCATGTCTTGGAGATGATCCTATCGACATAGAGGACTTGATTTCTATTGGAAGAAAATCTGGGCCGTAGGTTCTCTTCTGTCGATCATTCTGATTTTGATAATTTTTCCTGGTTTTGGAATGCTATTATTTTGGCTGCACTATGGACCTTTTTGCTTGTTCAATCCTTTATTGAAAATTTCTGTAGGTGTCCTTACTATATATCAAGAGAGCTCCACAAGGCTGTTGATATTCTTTTCGCTCCCTACAATTATCTGATTGATCAAAGCTACAGGAAGTCGTTGTCCCTTGACTGGAACAATAGTATACTCATTTTTGATGAAGCACACAACTTGGTGAGTAAACAAACTTGAAATTTGTACCTGCGAAGCTTGATTATTTTGCCATCAAACTACGATAGATGTACTTCCAGTTTTTTTTTTTTTTTTGATTCTCTCCTTTCCTGTTTCAGAGCTTAAATATTTGGGGAAAATAAAACAATCTGCTCTTATTGCTGCTTTATATCTTCATGTTAGCTTATTTACATCCATAAGACCAACAAAATGCAGGAAAGCTTATGTGCAGATGCTGCCTCATTTGATCTGCCTTCTGGACTTCTGACAGCTTGCATTTCTGAAGCCAAAAGTTGCGTTGATCTCTCCGTTGATAGAAGAGATAAATCAAATGATAAATCTCGTAACCCGGACAATTTTGCTATTCTTAGAGGTGCAATATCTTGGTAAACTTCAGATACTAATACTTTAGTATATTATCTATGCTTGATGGAGGGCTGCTGTGGTAGCTTTCGTTTGCAAACATATTGTAAAAGAAGGTGTGAGCATTATAGCGCACTCAAGCTGTATTACTGTATTCTTCTTTCTGAAGCAAGCTTACGTTATAATTCTCATCCTGCAGCATTACTTCTGAAGCTTGAAAAGAGAATTGCTGAAGTACCTGTTGAATCCAAGGAATTTGGTTTTACCAAACCTGGACCTTACATCTATGAATTATTTTCTGAACTAAACATCACTCATGAAACTGCCTCTATGCTCACTGGAATAATTGAGGAGGCTTCTGTGCTTCTTGAGGAATCCAAGGAACTGGAAGCAAAGGGTGGCATTTGCAGGCTTGAAACTATGGGTGAAATTCTTAAGCTGATCTTCAAAGAAAGGGAAAATGCTCATTCGAATTTTTATCGTGTAAGAAGCTTACGAGTTTTAAGCTTATCATTCGACAGTTGAATGTGCATCCCTGCCAAGATCAACATTAGCTGTTAGTTTTATATTTTTATAACAATTTGACCATTTTCTAATTTCAACACTTTTACTTCTTGTTTTTAGCTTCATGTGCAGGAACTTGACGCTCATCCTTCATATGGTTTAAAAGGTAACTTAAGAAAGTTTTGATGCTGGAGTGAATTAATTATTCTTTTGTGTTTGTTCATATATTGGATACCCATCCAACAACCACCCACTTAGCGGTATGTGTATAGACGCCAATAGTATGATGAAATCCATTTACACCAGAAGAATCTGTCCTTATATGTCTATTTCTTTTGGTTGTGCAGGCAAGGCATCAAGGACTCTCAGCTGGTGGTGTTTCAATCCTGGATTAGCAATGAAAGAGTTTTCAAAGATGGGAGTTGGTTCTATTATATTGACCTCTGGCACATTGTCTCCCATGGATTCATTTGCTCAAGAACTTAATCTGTGAGTAACTTAATGGTGAATTTTATTTTCTTGTTTCTGACTGTCAATATTGCTGAAAAGTGAATACTGTTGGATGACTTAGAGATTTTCCTGTGCGGCTGGAAAATCCTCATGTCATATCTTCGAATCAGATATGGGCTGGAGTGGTAGCAGCTGGTCCATCTGGCTGCTTATTTAATTCCTCTTATCGAAATCGGGATTCCTTAGAATACAAGCAAGAGCTTGGCAATGCTATTGGTAAGTCTGATTACTGCTGTTAAGCACTCATTCTCAAGTTAATTAGTTTATGGTGCGATTGTTCTTTGGTACTGATGACTTTGCCACTCAATTTCATTGATGGAAACTCTGATGATTTCCTTTAGTTTAGTCTCTTATTATTGTTTAAAGGCAATTGCCGAGCCTAGCACTTGATAGTTTTTTTTATAATGTGGTTATTTTAGTTCTCAAAGCCCTTATTCCTGTTCTGATTCGTCAAGATAGAAATTTAGCAACAAAGTTGAACTTAATATAGTTATTATTTCACCTGTTTGTCCTAAAGATATAAAATCCAATTTATAAAATTGTGTTATGACATTTTATTTTCCGCTATGCAATCCATGTCTATCCACGTTTTTGCTGATGCCTTTGCTTATATGGAACTTTAAAATTGATTTTGTGGTCCAATTGAAAATTTGGTAAACCATCATTGTGGTTGTTTATTGTAAAATTCATATGTTTCATTCATTAGGTTGTCATGTCACTTTGATATAGAAGTCTCATATTATAAAATTATGGTTTGAGACCCATTGTAATACTTGATCTTTTTTTTTTGGGTTGAATTAATACTTTAGCTTTATGTTGCAGTCAATTTCGCTCGAATAGTGCCGGATGGACTGCTTGTATTTTTCCCTTCTTACTACATTTTGGATCAATGTATTCAGTGCTGGAAGAATATGGTGAGACATTCATCATGACTGGTAAATAATTGAGATTTTTATACTGTTTACTCCAATAAATTCTCTTTGTTTGTAATAGGCTCATCCCAATTCAGTGGACTCTAACACCATATGGGAAAGGATTTGTAAATATAAAAAGCCCGTTGTGGAACCTCGACAGTCGTCACTCTTTCCTTTAGCCATTGAGGTCATCATTATTGCAAGTTCAATAAAAAAATTCCACTATTCCTGCAGATGTGCGAGATTATAGCATGGCCTCATTTCATTCTTTTGACAGGACTACATGTCTAAGCTCAATGATACCTCAAACTCAGGTGCAATATTCTTTTCAGTTTGTCGTGGCAAGGTATAGCTTCTTTCATGGACACGATGGTCACAAGTTTACAAAGACATTGCATCATGTATTGACTTTTTACAAGGGTTTGGTAAATTGCCATACAATTTTCACAGAACAACACTGGTTATCTGGAGATTCTCAGCCTGTAATATTCTAAACTTGTCATGTCATCGATCTATCTTAATTTATCAATCCTATCCTTTCAATATCTATTCCTTTGAGCTTTCAGATGGGGTATGTTTGGGATAAGCAATAGGGCTTTCTTTGGTTGAACAAAAAGTATTGACCCTTAAGAGGAGTTTTCTTTGTATGTGAAATCAAATTTACTGCGTGGCATCAGCAAGTAGCATACTTAGAAGCGCATAAGGTGAATTATGATTCCATATCTAATCAATCCTAAACTAGTTGTCTTGTTTCTAGTGTCTTTGCCTTCCAAAATATTCTCCCAAGAATAAAAAACAAATTGCAGACATTCTCCTTGCAAATGCTATCCTTTGTTTTTGCTTGCTTCAAATGTTAATTTTTCATTTTTGAGCCAAAGCACTTAATTTTGCTTGCTTCAAATGTTCATTGATGTACACTGTCTAGTCGTTACACATTGTGTTTGAAGGTCTCGGATTCTGTCAATCTTGTTAAGTTAGAACTTGAAATATTATGCATTAATCTGACTTCTTTACAGCATTGGTTCACTGATTATCTTTGGATAACATATGGTTCGGGAATGGAACTGTGCCATGTATTATACATGATTTCGACTTCAATATTTTTAAAATTCTTTTATACATGATTATCTTTAATATGTTTTACTCTTAGACTTTCATAAGTATGTTTAGCAGATGTTATTAACCTAATATCATACATGTGATCCTATTTTTAATAGATATTTATACAGCCAAACATGTTATATGTCAAGAAATTCTCATTTTATTTTATATGATACAACGATTTAGTCACCGCATATCAGTTGAAAATAGCGATACTCTTCATGTAACCGTCTACAGTGAGGGCAAGTGTCAACAGGGTGACATGAATTCATCCTTTTAGTTGGATAACCTCTTTTGAGTGTATCTATGAAAGGAGAATCCGGAAAAATTAACTGACAATAATTATGTTCTTGCATAGACATGATAAGGGTGGTTAACGGCTAAAAGTTTTGAATTGCCCTTCGGTGGCAAAAGTAGTGTCCACAGGTACTTATTGAGCTACAGAAGTTGGATGCTCATCCAGTTCAACATCTCTATCCTCTTCAATTTCAGATGGTTAAAACTAAAATTGATATTGTTTCCCTGGAAAAGGTCAGATAGGAGAACTTTACCTTAAGTTTATGTAAAATATTCCTTACATGTGACTAACTTCCAATTCCTATTTTGTTTTTTTCGAAAGTGACGAATTAGCAGGGACAAAAACTGTTGGTCTCTTAATATCTTGTCATCCTCAATTGCAACATTATGCTTTCAGTTGTTTGCATTGGCATTTCTATTTTTATTTCTGAAGTTTTCTCCTGCTCTGCTGTACATCCTGGTTACTGTTTGATACTTTATACGATTTGATTTAGATAGAATGTTGACATTACATCTTAGACTCTCCTGAATATAGACTAGTATGGCACTTCCATATATTTTTCAGGTAAGTGAAGGATTAGATTTTGCAGACAATGCTGGCAGAGCTGTTGTAGTCACAGGCTTGCCATTTGCCACTAGGACTGATCCAAAGGTATCATTGTGCTGGCCTCTTGTTTAACTTCTTACATGAAGATTTGCTATGAGTACTTATTTGCACCAAAAAAATAAAGAAAGTGATTGGCTATCTTTCTTAAATAAATGGACCACAAGGACCTTATGAACCATACTGCGGTAATTTTTTCTCTTGTCTCTCCATTCCTTGCATGTAATCTATTTAGTGGTTGTTAAAATTTTAGGAAGATGTGATTGTCCCAGTTCATGACAGTAATGAGGAACAAAATTGATGTTTACCGCTTTGTAGTCCACATATTTTCATTAGGAGCATCATAATATGCATATGCATCCAAAAATTGTGGAAAATGGACAACGTTGATGAGCAAGATAAATAAATGGCCTGTTGGCCCTATGTGGGCATAAGATATTGGTTTGTGGAGAGGGCTCTCTTGGTTCCAACTTATTAAAACAAATAATATTAAGGGTTAATTTGTAGTTTGTCAGGTGTTACTCGGTTGTGTTTGAAAGTATTCCTAGAAGCCATCGTCAATGGTTCTATGAACTTTTTTTGCATAATTGAAATTTGAGGTCCCACTTTCTCATCTGATAGACCAGTTTGACAGGTTCGTCTGAAACGAGAGTACTTGGATGAGTTGGCACGCTTGCAGAAGGAAAGGAGGGTAGCGTCCTTGATGCTGGATTAAAATTTTGCTGTTGACATATGTTTGCTTTCTTTAATAAAATTTGGACCTTTACTTGCACTTGCAGATTCTTACTTACTTGCACTTGCAGATTCTTACTGGAGATGAATGGTATAACCAACAAGCATTGCGAGCTGTTAACCAGGCTGTAGGACGTGTTATTCGTCATCGTGATGATTATGGAGCAATAATCATGTTGGATGAAAGGTTATCATTTGTTCTTGTCTCATGAATCTCATCTAAAACCGTGAGAAGATGTCCTTATCTGCATTTACTAAAGCATGTCTTGAATAGAGCATATTTACATGCCTATAACTTCATTTTCTTCGATAGTTTCAATTTTGCATATTGCAAGCATGTTATGAAGATCGGGAAGTTCTAGCATTTAAAGCTTTCCAAGCTTGCTTGTTGATGGCCTGGCACAAACTTCTGCATATTGGGCATACAAGTTATGTACCTAGGGAGTTCTCCCCTTTATGTGCCCTTTGTTGTCGTTCTGACAAACAAATTTGTTCTTTCAGTATGGGCATGGATGAAAATCAGGTACTTAAAGGGAGGAGGGTAGCAGATGAAATATTCCAAGATAAATAAATAAATGAAACTGTCCACATAGTTTTGAGTAGATAGCATAATAAATCATAGTGTTTCTCACTGTCAGAAGTTCAAACACCACTTATGGACTTATATTTTCATACTATCACTGTCCCTGTTCTCCTTAAGCATGCTGGTACTTTAATAACCACTTGTAACCAGTTCAACATGGATCCTTTCATAGTTTTATCTTTTCATCTTGCAACTTGTACAGATTTGCACAGCCGAATCGTCAGTCCCAAATATCACGTTGGATACAGCCTCATATTAAGGTAAATCTAGTGCCTCACAGCTTCTTACAGTTCTCTCTCTCCATGACTAATCGCTGTCATTGCAGTGTTACTCTAAGTTTGGAGAAGTAGTTTATCATTTGACCCGTTTTTTCCGAGATGGAGGGAACCGTGTCCCTGCAAAGCCAAAGATATTGCAACATAAAAACAGTGGTAAGCTCTATGAGCTTTCTCCATTTCTATAAAATTTATGTTCAGACATTGATCAATTTCTCTAGCTGCATTTTTCTGAGCTATTTATCCATCAAATGCTGATAAGTTTGGATCCTTCTCTGTGCTTGATGTTCTGAAATTACAACATGATAAATAACTTTTCTCATATCCACTTGATGTGAACCTACCATTGTTCTTTACTATGTCCATCTATCTACCCTCTTTATAACATCCTTTTATCCAACTGGAGAGACCATAGATTTACCTTATTATGAGGCTGATAAAGAATCCTTTCAATGTTGCTGATATGAACTTGTGTAACAATAATAGTGTACCCTGCCTGATAAATTTGCTTTACGTTGATGTTACAGTAAATGGGTAAATGATACTGTATGCAGGAGATACAAAAACTGCGGAACCTATACCCATTTGTCAAACTCCTCCGGTAAACCTTTTGTTCTTTTTCTCTAGATTTGGATTGCACTTCCCTGTGAACTTCTGCCCTTGCCATTTTTATTTATTGGTTGCTTGTTAATGGTTGTCATTACAGGCTTTGCCAACAGATGATGATGGCAATGTACATCCGGTATCTTTAGCTTGTGAAATGAAAAGAACCACCAACTCAAGCCAGTTGAGAGAAGTTATTCCTGCCAATCGCTCTTCTTTTACTCTGTCGAAAAAGTTCCTGGGATCAATAGGGAGTTCTTCAGGGAATTATACCGGTGATGGACAGAAGTTACTAATGTCGGGGAGGGGTAATATGCAGCAGAAAAGTGAAATAGTAGATTTAACTGCTGATTCCCTAGTTGATGAGAAACCATATAAAGGACTAACAGCACCGTGCTTTACAAAGAAGCGCAAAATATCTCCCCTAATGGACTGTGTTATGCTTGATGCTGGAAATAGCAGTCAGTTTGCCAGTGGTGCCAAATGTTCGCAATCAGAGTGCCGCTCTTCATGCGTAAATTTAGTGGAATTGGACAATTCATCTACTTCTGATAGTAGCAGCAGAAAACAAGGCCAAGCTGGTTCGATTTCTCTTCCTCAAGATGATGAGACTATTCCAAGAATCGATGCTAATTCTCTCTCAGAGGGATACAAAGGTGTCCAAAATGCTACTGCACCTGGCAAAGATGAGGAAGATAAAGGATCTGCTTTTCTGTTGCAGGTACAGAACTCAAAAGCACGAGAAATGGAGTGGGTGTATATTTGTTTTGTTTCCTTATCAGGTCAACTCAATTATAAAGGATCATGACAGCTTTGTCAATTTCCTAAACGGCCGCCATAAATGTCTGCGTGTTCAATTAAAATCTATAGATGGTAGTTTTGGTTTACTGTGTACAAGTATCCAGTAAGAATGCCTACAACGTTCAAACTAGAGTACTGCATCCAGTGCTTTCTTTTCCCTGTCAAATAGGAAATTCATCATGGCTCTACGAAGTGGCTTTTCATGAAGGTTTTGTGAAATGGTATGCAAAATCTGATTAATTGCAAGATGCTGCTGCAGCATAAATCTGAAGTTCGAGTTTTTCTCTGTGACCAAAAACAGAAGTCGTTCTATTCGTGTTATAGTCATCAATCCTTTCAGAGCTCTTTAAAATAGTTACTAATCCAGGGGAAAAAATTCCTGTAAGTACAAGTAAGTTTTGTTAGATAGTATGCCGAGAACGAATGCTTAGTGCTATTGTCAAATTCATTCAATGGATGGGTCACCTTGATGGTCCGGTTTTATAAATGATGGTACAGGAAAAAATGTCCTTGATGTATCAATTTTGCTACCACAAGATCTTGGGGTGGATTCACTCTTTGAGAATGACTTCTTGGTGATTTGCTTCTCTGATCTTTATGAATGGACTGTCAAGATGATGTGTGGGGCTTGTCAATGCATTGCAGTCTCTTCAGATATCCTGAGCTTCTTGGTGTTCCTTTTTCAAATTTTTTTTAATTGTAATGCATGACTCCAACCTTTTGCAATTGTTGCCATTAAAATCTCTTTTACCCAGGTTCAGGAGAAACTTAGTGCTTCAGAATATAAAGAATTCGTTGGGTTTATGAAGGCACTGAAGTCTAAAGCAATGAAAATAAGTTACGTTCTTCAGTCGATTGCAAGACTGTTCTCTGGACCAGAAAGGCTTCAGGTTTCTAAAAGGTAATGATTTGTGTGCAGTGTTGGGTTTTCATACTATAGCTCAAATCATCATGTTACACTTGTCCATGAAAGCAGATTGACCCGGTTGGTCGAACTAGTCACCTATGAAGGTCAACTGTCAAGTGTCAACTAATCTAAACGTTCAAGTTATTAGATGAATGCGTGGTCTGTTATATTAGTACTCCTATCCTCTCCCTCACGTGTTGACTGAGATTTGATCTAATAATAAACGTGAAAAATTGATGAGAAACGGGAGGCAAATGAGGAACCTAGAGAGATTTGACTACTAGACCTCCTATTTTGATACCGTGTAAAATTTTTAGACCATTGTTAATTCCCAATAACTTAAACTGTTAAATGATGGCTTGGTTTAATATGTAGATGCTCTAACACATTTAGGTGTCTCCTCAAACCCCTTTTTAAATTGTCTCATGCTTAATGCTTAATTAGTATTCATTGGTTTTTCTATCTGTCCTGTTAGACGGATAGCAAATAGTTACATTTGGGTATTTCTGTGTGAGCATTTCAGTCGTGTTGATGGGCAGTTAATTTTTTTTCAAAAATTTCGAAGTGTCCATGTGGATTTCCACTCGCTTATAGGAACTTCCTCAGAGAATGGAGGATTATAGTTTTGTGAGGAGCAGCCAGCCACAAAGATCCTTATTGTTTAAAGCTTTAAGTCAATGCTTTTGTACTTGTCTTTTTTTTTCATTAAGTAATTTAATATTTGTTTATTATAATAATGCTAGTCATAGCTGAACTACTGTATTATGATCAGGCTTTCATTTATCATTGGGATACTTAACATGTGAAATACTATTGATGTGTCATAAATCTGTTTCATTTTTGTACCCTAGTGTCCCTCCACATCTATTTCGAGGACATGTCATCAAGCTACTGTACACTAGGCCGTTTCTAGTCTGCCAGTGTAATTTTTTTCCCCCATGGATGAAGATACGAGTTTCAGCATTACTCTAGTATACTCTATACTTGCTGTGTAGTTCCTTTTCTTTACTGCATTAAAATTTTTAACTGACATCTAGTAGGGAAAAAAGGGTCAGTTGCTGTTGCTAATAATAGCTAGAATGTTCTGTTTCTTATTAGAAAATGTATGTTTCATGTCAGAACCTCATTGTCGCTTTTGACAGATTTAAGGATTTTATCCCCATGAAGTATCACTCTCTGTATGAGAAGTATCTTGGAGCAAATGATGGCATCACAGATGGTTGAAGTAAGGATTTGTTGAACTTTCTTATTTAATATGTCTATTTTAGCATTCTCTTCAGTAATTTTCATTAAGCTTTTCGTTCTTTATCCACGACAAAAATGAGATGGTGTTCTAAGCCTACAAATATACTGGATATGGGTTTTAGAAACCAAGCATTATATGTGGACTAAGTGGGATTATGGCAACTAAGTTTTTAATCCACTTGAATCACATCTATTTTTACTGAGTCTTATGATGTCAAATGCAAATGAAGCATGGTGGAAGATACTCACATGGTCCCCTACTTATCACAGTCGTGAAGAGTCAAATTGAACTATTCATCTTCTCTCTTTTTTCCCTATCATTCCTTTGAAGTGGAAAAGATAGGATATGACATGCTTGTGACTCTTTTTCCTTACAATTACACATCCTGTCTGGGAAATATGCACACTAGTCGTCTTTGCTGAAGTTTCAGGCAAAGTTGATGGTTCGTTGCTGGGGACAATGAGTTTTCACTTGATGAACCTTGGACTGTACTTAACAACCGAGTCATAATACTATTCTTTTGATGGAAGACACAAGCAAAGGCAATCTTACAATTTTCCAGCCCCCCCGTGCCACATGTTTTGGTTCAATACAGATGGCGTAACCCAAGGATGATGGAGATTTAAGCAGAGGGCTGCATGTCAATCGGCTCTGCAGTTTCGTATCAGTAGCGTTTGTGTTGAAATCGTTTGGATGCTGAAGCTATCAGGCACTGCTATAACTTGACCACTGAAAGAGTTCATTCTCTTCCCAGATCAAATGAAACCCTGTCTTCCATCGTCCTTGTAATTTAACATGCTGCGAGTTTATCGGGAGTAGTCCCTTGTTTTCATGGTCTTGTATAGATGGAAATTTTATAAGTCTAGTGGAAATAGATGCTCCCTCTGAGTAGCTGTCATAATTTTCTCCTGAAAGTTCATTGGTATTAGCACGTGTTTGGGAGTTGTTCCTGGTGAAAATAATTGAATGCGGTATTGTTAACTGATGGTTTCAACGGTCAAGATTTGTGTTCTGGACAGGGGTGAGCGGTTTCAGGGTGGTTGGAATCTACTTTGTCGGAACCGATTCCCAATTTTTTATTCATTGAAATGACAAACTTTAGTAAACTAGTTTTTTTTTATAAGAGTAAAGGCGGTAACAACAAGAATATGAGATGCAAGATATAATTTAAAGGAGATAATGAAAGTTTCTCAATCCAGATCGATCTGGTTTTGTATCTAGAATCGGGAATCGGACCGATGGTAGTCAGTTCCAAAAATTTGGAACCGGGCCAGAACCGGCCTGGTAATTTCTGTCAGGTCAAGTTTCCGGATTAATCCTTAGACCGGTGCTCATCCCTACTATCCGGGTCTTTTTCTTTTCTTTTCGTTTTTCTATTAAACGCGGGGTCGCTACGGTTCAATGCAAATCAGAGTAGAAAGCACCATTCGTGCACTTTTGCTCAGGAAAAAAAAAACTGAAAAACGCAGAAACAATTTATCTCTACCTTCCATCCAAATCATAATACCGAAATTCAAGGGAATCTGCCCAATACCTCTAAATAAATCACCTTCTTCAAAACACTCCTTTCCCGTCATTGTAAGGCTGGTAAGGTCTCTAAGATACAATAATAAATAGCGGATTAAACTAGATCCAGGAGGGCCACTGTGGAACGTGCCAAGGCAAGTTCCTGCACAACATCGGGGAACAACCCCCGGACAAAGATCATCGTAACCACCTCCTAAACCTTACCGAAAGCAAGAAACAAACAAAGCTCAAGGATAACCAAAACACGTAATTTAGCATGAGACCCTTCTCCATTATGAACAACATCGCATGTGATGGAGCCATGGAATTCAACACCTAGGGGCGGTCCACCTGGTACACCCCCTTTAATTTAATTCGAATTCGACCTAGATTGACGTTTACACATCTCTCTCCTAGTTTTCTTCCTTCCCTCCTTGTTCCGTGACCTTGCCGGAGCCGGAGCCGGAGCCCTGCTGCCGCCGCGGTTCCGGCGCAGGACCACTATCAGATCCACGAAGGCGCTCAGTATGTACTTGTAGGACTTCTTCTCGTTCAGGTTCAGGTAGCAGAACAGAAGCTCCTCCATGAACTCCCAATCGACCTTTGCATTGCCGTCGAGCCTGGCCTCCACCATGTCTTGCATGGAGCGCTTGAAATCGTCGTACGGGCTCGTGGAATGCGTCACCATGGCGATGCAGTCATCGGGGAGCGAGACCTTCGTCTCGTTCTCGTGGGGATTGTCTGAACTCCCCGTGGTGATGGTCGTGGTGGTGGTTGAGGTAGTCGCGGTGGTCGCGGTCGACGTGGAGCTGGAGGCCACGTCCTCCGACATGGTCAAGCTGCTCCGGGCTTCCTCCATCAGGGAGCTCGACGAGCCGGGGGCCACGAAGAACCGGTTCGACCCGCAGAGGTTCAACGGCGGGTCGATGAACCTCGGCGACTCGAACAAAACCGGATCGCACCCGCCGCGTTCCTTCTCGTCGTTCCCCTTGCCCTTCTTGCACGCTCCTCCCCCGTCGTCGTCTCGGAGATACAGCGACTTGAAATTCTCGAAGAGGAAGCGGTCAACGTCGTCAAGAGTCGCCGCCTCGCCGCCGCCCCCGCCGCCGTTCCTGCCCCGGTCGACGGCGAACGACTGCGTCTTCGGGTGCTTGCACCCGGCGAGAATCCAGTTCTTGGAGGCTGAGACGGAGTCGTGAACTGGAGGAGGTGTGCGATTAGCCTTCTTGATCTTGGAAAGGTAATCCTGGAGAGATCTTTGGAGTTTCTTAGGCATTTCTCTTCTTTCAGCATTTGGGTGGAGCCTCAAACTGAATATCAAGAACGGCAGGTCGGTCCATATAAATAAGCGGAACGCCAAAAATGTAACTTGTGCATATACATTATAAAAATGTAAATGCTGCTTGAAACATACGTCTTGAATTCGCTATTAAACAAGGGCGTTAAGGATATTGAAATAACTGCGAAATAAAAATTAAGATTAAATAGGCATTAATGTGTAATTATTTCGATGCAATTGGAGTAAATTTGAGAGGGACATTGGATTTTAGAAAAAAATTTAGATGAATTATAAGTAACGTAAATGCTCATTACTGAAGTTTCGGTTGAGGGTTGAGATTGGGACTTGACGGTATTTAATAAAAACAGCTAACTCCCGTCGAAGGACTCTATCTCCATTTCGACTAATCAAAGCAGTTAAGTTTTTCACCCCCCCCATGGAAAATTTACTCAAATCGATGCGAGTTTGAAATGATTTTGCTCCCTCGAGAAAACGTACTCTTTTTATGATGACACTGTTGATGCTCTCGATCACTACCAAAAAAACAAATACTAATGCCCACAGTCGACAATCGGATCCATATTTTTAAAGGGTTAATATTACGAAAAACTCCAAACTGATATATCTGTAATAAATTTATTCTAAACTAGTACACATGTGGTAAATTTACCCTATGTTAATTTTCGTTAAATTTTATCGTCAAATTGCTGAATCGGATGACATGTGGCAGCTAACCGGTGTACCGGTTTGGGATTTTTAGGGTAGTAAGCACTAGATGAAGTATGAAATCTATGAACATCAAATTCAATAGTGAATTTGTCAACCATTTAGGAAGTTGCCACTCTGGAAACAAGATCTTACCGGTGGAATTAAGAACTCACTAGTGACAAATAGTTACCATCGTAGGCCCGCTTTTATCCCGGTAAGTTACCAACGTAGCCCGGAATTTACCTACTTCGAGTAGAATAGTAAGTGATCCAACTTCTTCAGAAATTTGCCACTTAGCAGATGACCCACTTGTAAAATTTTAAAGCACTCGGTAATCTACTGCATGCTTAATCGATTCGAGGATAGTAAAATCGCGATTTCTTCGGTAAGTTACCAGTTATTTAACGGGTCCATTTGTAAAAATCTAAAGCACTCGAAAATCTATTGTCCAATGGGGGTGTGGTAAAATCGTTATTTCAACAGCACGTTATGAATTACTTGACGGGACTAATCATAGAATATTAAAGCACTCGGATAGTTTGATTATTATTCTTGACTTGATTTATCATTACAAAAAGTACAAAAATCAACTATCGACAACTAGATTTTGAAGACGGTAAATTGCTTATTTTGTAAAATCAAAGCAATTGGTAATCTATTGTAGAATGTGAGTGCGGTAAAAACTTAATGTTATTAGCAAGTTCCCGACTAATCGATGGGCCCGCTTATTTAATGTAAAAGCATTCAATAATCTACTATTAGATCCTATACACGACAATAACAAAAATCGTTGCCCGTTTGTAAGTTACCAATAGTTGATCGAAAATTGCTAGCCAAATTAACGATAATGGAGATTTACTAGCGCATTTTGAAATTTACTGTCACAGAAAATCGGATTCGTTTTCAAACAAACGGAATTGTAAGCTCGTCCCACATGCAATAAGATACAAAAGGGCTCTCTAGACTAGAAGGATTGTCGATGAATTAGACCAAGGCCATGCACATAATCTAAACTATATGCGTAGAGGCCTGCACATTGTCATGCTTAGATGTTATTTTTTAAATTGCTCCAAAGCCCGAGAGTCATGAAGGACTTGTCGGTCCTCCTCGTATCCTGTCTAGTCTAATTCTCCTTTTGTTTTTCTCGTAGGGGCTAATGACGTGGAAAAATGACACAAAAGACCCCTAAACGTTGGCCTAATATACAATGCGGTCCTTAAATTGTATAAAAATATTCAATATTATTCTCGATCTTGAATTAATGGAATTTTTATACAGTTCAAGGACTAAGCTGAACATGCGTTGAAAATTCATGGATCACATTGCAAATTGAGCTAAAGTTCATGGATCATATTGAACATATTAAAAGTTCTGGGATCACGTTATATATCGGACCAAAGTTCAGGGACCATATGTGCCATTATTTCTAATGACACAAATGGTCCATGAACTATATGAACACCTTCGGATAGTGCAGGGACTAAGTTAAACATGTACAAAAACTCCAGGGATCACATCGAACAATTTAAAAGTTTAGGGACGACATTGCATATTGGGCTAAAGTTTGTGAATCGCATTGAACAAATTAAAAATTTAGGTAGACCATTTTGTGTCATTTCCTCTTCTCATAGGCAAGGGCAAAAGCCGAAGCCCGCTTGCAGATATGACGTTGTTTCTTGAGGCGGTCACGTCTCGTTGACTTTTGTTCGAGCCCCCCTCTCTAGGGGTATGCAATTGGACTGGGTTTACCCGAAAACCGAATCGGTCCACCCGAAAAACAAGTCTAGGAACCGGTTCTTGTTTGAACCGGTCCGAGAACCGGTTCCATTTTTTGGGAACCGGTTAGAACATGTCCGATTTCCGGTTCCAAGTAAAAACTCACCCCGATCAGTTTTAGAACCGATTTTATATGGAGGTTCACTTGCAATTTTATATGGCCAGAATTCAAAACATTATATTAGGAAAGGTGAGGGAGGTAATCATTATTTGCGGATAGTTTAACTCAAGGGCTTGTAAGCATTATATGGAGCAATTTCCTTTTTCTTAAAATTTTTGTTCTGTAACGAAGAAACTAAATATCCAACTGAAACCTATGCTGTTTTATCACGTCCATTAAATTATTGGGATTAAAATAATATGCTTATGTATGAATACTTAAGATTGTTTGCACAATCAAACTTATAACCTTTGATTTAAGTTATAAGTTTTCCTATTTGCTACCGGGAAAAAATGAAACCAAAAAGAGGAAAAAAAAAAATAGGTTCTTGGGTATACCCTGAAACTGGACCGAAAAAATAGGATCGATTTTAAAACACGATCCAGGGCAAAAAGGGTGAGTTTTAAGTTTCAAAAATTAGAAATCGATTATAACAGGGTCGATTTCAGGTTTCAGATCTAGAATCGACCCACCTCGAAATCGATTACCTTACCCCTCTCTCTCTCTCTCCCTCTCACGCACACAAAAAGAGAGAATCTTTACGGTTATTCAGTTGGGCAAAAGCTATTGCCGAGGGAGAAACCTTCCCGTCATCGTCCCGCGAGAAATGGCGACGGAGAAGAGCAGGGAGGAGCGGCGGCGGAAGATCGTCGACCGGGGATCCGATCGCTTGGCCCTCATCACCGGCCGGGCCCCATCTCTTCCCCCCGATCAATTCCGCGGTAATTTCTCCGATCGACTCCATTCTTCTTCCCTCTTCTGCTCCTCGTCTCCACGCCGATCGCGCGAAACCTTTCCGACGCGCTCGTCGATGTCCGCCCCCCGCGCGCGGTCGGCGCGAGCTCAAGCTCGATTGTGGGCCGCGGCGTTTTCCGGCGCCCGTTCGTCGTCCGGGGGGAGGGAAGGCATGCTCCTCCGCGGCTTCGTTCGCTGGTCATGCGTTGGCGTTTCTCGAGGAGGGGATTTGTCGCGACGAGAATGCCTGATTGCTCCTTTGCTTAGATTTTCAGATGTCCTGCTGGGCACGTGCTGTACTGTAGTATATGTTTGCCCCGTGTTTCCTATTTTGCCTCAGTTGATTGGTCGTGGTGTCAAAGCCCCCTCTTTGCTTACGAATGATTCGTTCGATGTTGTTAACGTTGTTCTCGTCCTGTGTTGCAAGTGAACGTCTCGGTTGATATGATTGTTGCGGTTCAGATGCTTTGCGACTCCTTTGTTGATAATCCAAAGTTTCTGAGATATTAGTTGCGATGTATCCAACCGGACTAGCCTATTTGATTCTAAACAAAGAAACCGGCAGTTGCTCGTTTTCTTTCCCTTTTGAGATGACTGTCTCTTCTCCAGTGAAACCCATCATGAAAAGTTCTCTCTTTTTGTTCACCCATTTTCTTCATTTCTAATGCTGGAAATGCGTGCAGACTCGAATCAAGAGTTCGTCAAAGCTAGTGTAGTCGTTTTCTATTGCCTGTCGCGTAAATTCTGATTTGTCTCTTTATTTTCTATAGGTGGCATTGTGGGTGACGATCATGCTGGCAGTTCTAGATCCTCCAAAGAAAATGTTGATGCTGAGGCTTCAGCTAAAGAGATTTCTCATGTTGGAGAATCCGTTGCTGAGACCAACTTGCGCGAGTCCGAGATCGGTGGGCATCACATACAAGCACCATCGACGCAAAGAATGTCTGCGGGTTCACAATCTTCGTCCGGTTCCAAGCAGAGGCACCAGCCTCGTTTTTTCAGTTCGAAGAGGCTGAACTCATGCGTTCTAGAATCAGAGAACACGCGCGCTTGCTGTGCTCTTATCATTGCGGTCTCGGTAGTTCTATCTTGCAGTGGCTATCCATTTGTAGCAAAGTCAGACAGTGTGATATCCTCGAGGCCTTTGTACATACTGCTGGTGACAGATGCGACAATTGTGCTCGTCCGGATGTACCTTGACATGCAAAGAAATGCCGAGGAGAGCGTGGATGAAAGCGGGGAATCTCAGGAGGATAGTGATAACTGGGGAGGAGCAGTTAAGGTTTTGGAGAGAGGGTTGGCGGTGTACCAGACTGTGCGTGGAGTTTTTATAGATTGCAGCGTTTACGTGGTGATAGTTATTTGCTGCCTCTCCGTAGTGTAGTCTTCTCAAGCAATATCAAGTTGAAACCATGGTTGTAGGCTAGCATTCTAGTGCTTCTTGTAGTAAGTGTTTCTTTTGCTCCAGGCATTTGTGTAATCTTTCACTGTCCCGTCTTGTGTATGGGATGAGCTTGACTATCTTGATGAGGTGATAATCATGAGTTGCTTCGTGATTACTTGGATTTATTTTGAAGGAAAAAGCTGGCACAACTTCTCTAATTTTGTAGATTTTCTGTCGACTGTTCTTACTTCTGTTAATCACCATTTCGACATTCTCTGACTCTAAATTGTTAAAATTTGTGCGCATCAATTAGTGAGATGTCAAGAGGTATCCCATTGGTATTCAGCTTTTACGGGGGTCACTCTTGAGTTCATAAAAATCAAAGGTTTTTGCTGTTCAGTCACCTGAAGTTCCATGTTTTCGTAATTTAACACCAAATTGACCTGTTCACAAAGAATATTTTTAAGTTAGTAACCATGACTTTGACTAGTCATGGTTTTCACTCTTCTGGTTGGATTTCTTTTACTCGTGATGAGTTCTCAAAGGTATCTTCGAGTTTCACCAAGATCACCTGAAATTCCTGCGAAATTGTTTGGTAAGATGTTGGAGTTGAATCTTTGTCTTTGACTGGACAATGATGAATTTATTAAATTTGAAAGGCAGATCCTGATAATCTCTGGCTCTATAACATTCAGACGATGAACAAGAATCCGAAACATTTGTACGACTGATAGACTAAACTCGACTAAGAAAATGGTATTGTTCTAGGTGCTCTTGAAGAGTTGTTAGAAATGTCATGAAGGGGAAACGGAATGGAGATCCGGTGAGATTTATTGGTCCGGAGTTACTTCCAAAAGAATGACCTTTAAGTTCTCAGCAGGACTCGGATTCTGAGGTACAGTTTTTCGATTGGCCTACCAATTTGACCCGTTTACATCACATTGAAGCAGCTTGGTCCTTTTTTGTTGAGAGAAGATGGGGTTGTACTGTGATTTAATGCTGGTAAGTAGCTGCAGAGTAATTGCTTTGTGGCACATGTGAAACAGCCAGAACTGTGGCCCAGCATGCCTACAGATTTTGGCGTTTGGACCATCTAACCACGTTTTCAAGGGTCTCAATGCAAACATGAAGAAAGCTGTAACATTTTCATTGATAACATTTGTTTTTGCTTTATCAAGGAGAGGACAATTTATCTAGAAGGAACACTGCTAACAGTTCTCTTCCGGGGTTAATCACTCAAACCCCTACTACTAATACACAGATATAAGTTAGTACTAAAGCTGTAAATATATTCTTTCCGAGGGTAGATTTGAATCGTATTATTTCGTATTGCACAAATGATTCTGATTATCTGAAGAAAACATACTGTTGAGTGGACCCAAGAAGAATGCTTTTGGTTCTAAGAGTTATAGTTGATTGCCTCATGGTTGAATAAATAAAGCCATTACTAGGCCAGGCAAATTGTAAAAGCCTTCCCATGAAAATACGTCGTGACCCGACGGATAACGAGGGACAGAGAGGATGGAGATTTACGAGGAGGGAAAATCTTGTCGTAGGCTACAGTACTCAATTGACAAACATCAAAAGGCCTGTTCTAGTTTCCCTCAAGTAAATATGCAGCAAGCATGAAGTAAAAACCACATCAACCTCATAATTTGCATCAACCCATCAAATCAGTCTCCTCAAGAATCCTCGATGGAACAGCGAACCGAGCAGAGAACGTCCTTGAGAGGTTATCTGGATCGGCCCATGTCTGTCCCTGATCGAAGTTCTGGGCGTACGTGAAGGGATCATATGGGGCACACGCCGGAGCAGAGAAATGGAAGATCCTCCTCTGTTCCTTCTTGATCTTCCTCCACCAAATCCTCCACACCGACAATTTCGATCCAGCAGTCAACAGCACATTGAACGGAACAAGCATGTTAAACCCACACTTTGGGCGGTGTCTTTGGCTTTGGTTGGTGCATAGATCGATTGACTTCCAGCGCTTGCTCGAGCTCATGCTAGAATGCACAAAGCCAAGACAGGAGGCTTTAGAGAGACAGCAGTTACTAACTTCACTAGACTATTTATTCAAATGCCGTAACTCTGAAGGCTTTGGACTCTCTGAGGAGGGGGGGAAGGCTATTTAAAGGATGACCCAAAAACTGACGCAAATTCTGGGGAAGTTTGTCTCCTAGTGGGTTTCTCGTGCATGAGTAGTTGTGGAAGATAGAGAACCATGATCCACATTAAATTTCACCTTATGTAGAGTGAAACATATGCTGCAAGTATCCTTACCAAAAAAAAAACGTATGCTGCAAGCTGTAAACTCTTTGTCCCTCTGTGATGATGTAGTAACTTCTGAACACGAGGATGGGCTTGAGTACCATAATGGAGCAGGATGGTATTATTGTGTGGGGCTAGATTGAGGACCACGAAGGTCTCACTCCAAGGGTTTTTTCTTCAGATTTACATGTCAACTCATTGATGCTCAGTATTCAGTATGAGCAATCTTTATATATGGGATTTGGGGCTGGGTTGTGTTGTGTTGGTGACGAGCGTTTCAATTCCTCAAAACAAGCAAACATGCTTTCACATTCTCCTCTTTCTTGAGGGGCCCCCTTGAACTTGGCGACGATGGTTCCTTGTCATTGAAGTTAGCAGGATTTGAGGCACTGCATAGTTAATCTAAAGCATGAATTCCAAGCACCTTTTCTCGTTTCTTTTGTCATTTTCTCTCCACCGCATTTTGCGCACACCTTGGTGATATTGGCTTTTTCAGACCACTTGAATTGGAGAAATCGCTGTACTTGTCATGGCTTGCCCAGTCATTCTTACTCTAAATAGGAAGGTTGTCTTTGCATTTTAGCTAAAATTCAAGGAATGTCAGAATAACTTGTCCGAAAGAAACAAAAAGAGAGAGAATAAGGTTAAGACCAATAACATGACCCTTTGGGTTGAAGTATGTGTAGGAATGAAAATTTGTTTATGTTATGACTTAGATCGTATTAATATTATAGGGAAAAAGCTACAAAAAATTTCAAACTAGGCACATTGTGACGCATTTACCCGGAACTTTTTTTTTTGATATAAAAAACCCTAAACATGTACCAATGTATCACATTAACCCTTCGTCAAAGTTCCGTCAAATGATTTTTCAGTCAAAATAATATCATTTTTATTTAACTGAAGTCACGTGGGTGCCATGTAAACACCGTTTGCTTTCCGGTGTCCATATAGATAGAGTTTTAACCGTGCTCATTGACAAAACCTTGACGGATGGTAAATATATCACACAGGTATAAGTTTGAGAATTTTGGTGCCACAGGGGTAAAAAAAAATGTTACAGTGAGCACAGTTTGGATTTTTTTTTTGCTTTTTCCCTAATATAAAGGTAGGTAGAAATAATAATTGTTGTGCTTGTAGACAGTAGAAAGTTAATTCTTTTATCAGGATGGGCTTGAATACGGAGAAAGGCATGTTCTGACTGGGCCCATCAACTATTGACAAAGCCCAACTGTCTCCTCGCAATTTTCAAATTCCAACCCGTTAATTCTCTTCCAATATTGTATTTATACAGATCCATTTCACAAAACACTGTGACTCAAATTTGGCTAAAAAGAGAGGAAAAAGCAGACGAGGATTTTGAACTATTCAATCAGATTTCTATTTTTTTTTGCTATTGAGTACTAAATTATATACTTTTTTGTTCGAGTAGGTCCTTCCATCAAAATTATTGAGGAAAATGCCAACGTGACGTTACGTGGCGTTTCACATTACAATTCAGAATTTAGAAAATCAAGAGTATGGAAAAAGGGGAAAATCCAACAAGGACCGAAATACACAAACCATCGAATAGTAGTGATGGGGTAGCTGCAGCAATTTGAGAAAAAGGAAGTTGGAGCTGAGGCGGCGCCGGTGCCCCCACCGCTCATGCACTGGTGACGGGCATCAAGCGAAGCTGACCCGACGACGGCCGCTACCTTTGCCCTCGAAAATAGAACAAATGACCGTGTGTACGTGTGATAAGTGAGCTAGGCGAGGTTGCAGCCATTGCCAGCATCCTTACTTGCCGTATCTTCGCCAGTTGCAGGTGCCAGTTCGGCGGCAAGGGTCGTTGCTTTCCCCACAGATTTTAGTGATGGTACGCCAAGATCAGATCTGCAGCGAGGGCGCGGCTGCCGGCCGTCCTCGAGGGCCTAGCTCTATATCCATAGATGTCCGAAGAATCCGAGCAAAACATAAAAAAAGTCGAAAATGAATGCGACTGCCGGAATAAAATTGCCGTTGAGTTAATGAAACATGGTATTGTAATTGAAGGGTTTGAAACCGAGTAGATAAAAGAAATGCTCAATAACATAGCTTTGTTGCACCTCCACCAGCAGCATTCTACACCGATTCCTTTACAAATTATGCAAGATTCATAAACGTAGCTCAACGGTGGGTAAGTAAATGGTGTCGATAGGCTTAGATTGAGTTACAATGTGACCTAAAGAAATACTTTTCTAGATTCGAATCTATCAGGCCTATTTATGTAAAATCTACATGATCAGTGACTGTGATTGTACACGGTCTTTATATTAAAATCCACACGATAATTCGCCAGAATTCTTGACTACATTGGTTGAGTCTCACTAACTTTAACAAAGATACATCAAAGAATTCCTCCTAAATAATCACTTATAATAATAAAAAAGGACTCATCTATAAGATGAAAAGAGAAAGAAAAAAACTACCCCTCCATTCAAAAAAGTAGCTTTTGCACCTCACATTACTTGATTCCAAAACTTCTTTAGCACCTCCCTTCCCTTAGCCCCCTCAAAGTCCCTGCCTTTTCACTACTTCCTCCATAAGAATCAGATTCTCCTCCACAGGAAACTCGCTCCTCACCTGTCATGTTAACAGTTTCCAAACATCAGTTCACGTGTCACCCTAGTTTTCCTTCGACCGTCCTTGCCGGTCACTCTGCAAACCGTCGGAATCAGCACGTGTTGCTTAGTTTGATGGCTGCTCGAGAAGTTCCTAGTCGGCATTCATCAGCTGCCGTGACCACTGGAGATGCGAAAGGCGCGAGAAAGTGGTGCTTGTGCTTGCCCACCGTCCATCTGAGTTCATTCGCGTGTAGATTTCATCGATCTAAGTACGTGTTTGTTCGAAAAATATGATTCTGTTAGTGATTGTTCAAGCTGAAGGTATTGATGCACAATACTGCACAAGTTTTTATATCTTCTAGCGGACCATACAGTGAATATACGTGAATTTAGCATCATATGGCCTTCAAGATCATATCATCTGAGGCCCACTCTAAGTTAATATTTCACTTTGATTGGTAAACATTTGTCAAGACCCAGTTAGATCTTAGAAAGATTAAAAGCATGTTCATCAAACCAAAGCCAGCATCGATAATTATCCCTGTAGCGCACTGACCGCGATCCATAACAAACTTGTATTCTGGTTGATTCTTCAGCGAAAGTCGGTTCTCTTACAATCCCTATATAACAAACTAAAGTATTGCAGACCCTTATATCATTATCAGTGCAACCAGATGCACGATTGCGTTTGAAAAGTAGGCATATACCAGTACAAGCTAACGTGCTTCGTACGCATATGGTTCATTCGACGTCTATGTATATATCGCGGTTACGAGCTGTTGCGAAATCTAAGTACATATTGAAGCTAGATATAATATGGAGCCTTCCGATTCCGATTCATTGTGGCAATGCGATCCGTCACTGAAAGGATAGAACAGTATAAATAGTTAGAAACTGGCTAATTCTTTCACTCAGCAAAAAAGAGAAGAAACAACAAAAATTGATCAAGCAAAATGAACGCTTCGATCTCACCTCAGGGTAACAACTTTGACGCCCAATGGTTTGGTTGTTGGTGTTCACTGAGACCTCGCATGATACTTTGGCCTGTAAATGATGTCCAAACCCCCCAAAAAGAAATTAAAAGAAGAGTAATCTCAAGTTTTGCTTAAGTGAGAGACGAACAACTAAGATGGCTATACTCATGTTGATCAATAAAAGATTATATCAAGTTTATATTGCGTGCACATACTGTGTAGAGAATGAATTGCATATAATTCGATTCAGGCAACTGTCTCATGCACACATACCATCAGCTTGTATACTACCATTTGAATAAGTTGTGCATCGTATGAAAACTCCAATATTATCGTACCGACGGCGCGAGTTTAGATACACGTTAAACCTTATATTTGATGTGATTTTTATGGATAAGTACGCAATTCTTGTAGACACCTATTGTATGTTAAATCGAGAAAGGGAGACCTAATCTAAGTAAGAATGAAGTTTTTACTTTCAAAGGGAAGCCAAAGAAGAACAACCCGACTTGCCCTTCGACCGTCGTAACCGTGTCAAGTGGAACCGTGCCCTTGGCCAAGTCCTCGAGCAAGAACAAGACATCGCTAAACACCTCGACCCCGTCGAACTCCAGCTCCGCATCCACATAGGACGACCCAAGCGCCATTATGTGGCTGTGCTCCGACTTCACATGCCCCAGCATCTTCCCCCGGTACCCGACCGCCACGTCGAGCGTGCTATAGTCAATGGAGTAGACGTCGGGGTTACGGACTTTGATAGTGAGGAGCAGGGATATGTCGACGAGCACGTGTGGGGTGGTGCGGAATTGGACCCGGTCCAGCCGGAGCCTCACAACATCGACGTCCGGCTCGGACGGGTAAAGTATATAGGCTACAGTGGCTAAAAGAATTAGCGACGCGGCGCAAATTGTACGGAGCCGCCGTGGGGAAGCTGTCTCGGGGCGGTGGAGGACGGGTAAAAGGATGTAGTTTGGGGCATCAGCTTGGGGTGGCAAGGCAGTGTAGTAGATGGGAAGGGGCGGCGGCGGCGGTGGATTGGCTTTGGAGGAGGCCATGATACATCAAGAAAAAGAGAGTGATGACTTTGAGCTTATAGTTCCAAAACATAATGTGCATGCGGGATTTCTGGGTATGATATTTGGTAAGGTGGAAGGAAGGTTCCTAGTTTGTTTGCTTCCAACGTGTTGATGTTTTCCCCGCCTTTTCATTTCTTCTTTTTGACCCCACTTGGGACAGCTTGGAAGATAGTATAGAGTGGGAGTTGGATACACATGCACGGAAGACTGTTCAAATTCACCCGAATTGAGTAATGAAATGAGACCCGGTTGATATCCACACAGTAATGGTGAACGCATTCTGTACTCTAGAAATCAGGGAGTCGACGACGATGTGTCAAATCTCGTCACGGCTTATGAGCTGGTGGTGAGATTGCTTTGGTACTTTTCCTTTTTCTCCAAGTCATTTAACCTGTCTAATGCACGGATACTTAAGACATCGAGACTCGTTTCTTCGGAGTTTTTCATGAGATTTCTCTACCAAGAGAAAAGTGTCTTATGCAATGGAGACAACTTATATCGCTACTCAGAATTGATATAGTTCCGAATTAACCGATCGATTACTTTAACTTGTATAACATAGTTGCTTCTCCATAGGTAAATAAAAAAAGAAACTTGTACCTTAAAGTCAGTAAGGCGTGCGTGCAATCATTTTATTCACTGAAGCAGTTCGCTCGAAATGATTCTTTTTATTCCGTGCCGGAACAATTTCTAAGCATTTGAAGGCATTTGGTAATTGCCCAAAATTTCTATTCTTAGAATAGAAAAAGAACAGAAATGCGTTTGGTAATTACACAAAATTTATTTTTATTAATAATATTTTAATAAGAGTTTGAATTTTTTAATATTTCTTTCTTTCTTTTTCCCTTTTTTTCTTTTTTTTTTTTCCTTTCCTTCCCTGGCCTGTGGCCAGTTGCCAATAATATTTTGAATTTTTTAATATTTCTTTCTTTTTTTTTCCCTTTTTTTTTTCTTTTTTTTCCTTTCCTTCCTTGGTTATGGCCGATCGCCGGCGCAGGCAACTGGCCACAGGCCAGGGCCGGCGAGGGCGTCACGGGCCTCGCCGCCAACCTCGTCGGTCGCGACGGCGAGGTTGGCCTCGCCAGATTTGGGCGAGGTCGAGCCTCGCCCAGCCATGGCGAGGCCTCGTCATCGCGGCCGCGCTCGCCCAGGCGGCGAGGGGGACCCTCTCCGGCCACCGGTGAGGGCCGCGACGCCCTGGCCGGTGGCAGCGGCAGGCCGGAAAGAAGAAGAACAACAAACCAAGAAAAAAGAAGAAAATCAAGAAGAATTAGAAATGGAAAAATTGTTTCAGAATCAAGAAGTTACTTTTTTTTGCTTCTTGATTTTGTTCCAAAACTGATTCTGGGAATAATTTTTTGCAAAATTGTGTCTAGGCACAAAAAATTTAACAAACAGAATTCTGTTCCCAAACTGAAATACAAATTTTCACTGTTTGGCAAGTTACCAAATAGGCCCTAAGTGTTTCTGGTCCAATCCCAGATGCAGGCGCCTGCTTTTTGGAGGGAAAAGGCCCAACCAGCTAACTTCCAGCCCGCGTGCCAACCTTGACTTTTCTATTCATTGCAACTGGTAAAATTATTGGGCCGATTCAATTGATTCAACTGGTAAGATTAAAGAAGACATACTGCAAACTTAAAGAGGGCAAAAATGTGATCTTCTCATATTAGTTAGATCAACTCCGGTGATTACTAGACTTGGCATTCTCACGTGATAAGTTAATCCCGTGCTAATACGTTTATCAACGAAAATTCATTTTACATGGATAAAAATTATTGTTGTTTTTGTAATTTGGGGACGTGGACGCGGTCTCTCTTGCAAACTCTTTTCTAAACCTGAGAGTAGATGTTTCTGCTCAGGGGTGATTGGTTCCCGGATGGTCCGGTTGCCACCTAGGAAGGAACCAAACCAGAGGGATTGGTTCATCGTTTTTAGAATCGGGAATCAGACTGGTGTCCCCCGGAACCGGTGACATATTCAGTTTTTTTTAATTTGTTGTTAATGTTCAAGATGAAATTGAGATAATCAAGACGTTTCTACTATCAATGAGTTATGTGTAATACTGCGGGTTTCATAAAGATTTTTCCAATTTGTGGCAAAATATGGTTGGAATGAGCAACTGAAGTTGTGTTTTGATTTGTTCATGTCATCTTACTCACTTGCATAAGTAAAAGTAGCCGCTCCAGCCTTGAAAAGCATTCCTTTGTGAAACGGGAGATAGATTATACTTTCTTTTTTTAGATTTTTAAAAGATAAAAAAATTTAAAAAAATCGATCGAGTCTAGGTAATCCAGGTGGGTTGTTCCACACCTGAAAACAGAAACCGAACCGCAATTTACCGGTTCCAATTTTATGTACCGGTGCTCCCGAGAACTCAGATTCGAACAGTTCTTTTTGCTCACCCGTGTTTCCGCCGTGCTTTTTTACATCACACATGGAGAAAACTCAATTGTTCATTGAATGCCTTTTGCAAGTACTTACATGATCTGCACAGAGATGACAGCAGAATATACATCGTCCAACAGGAAGGACCGGGGGGATCCGAAGATTCTACGTCACAGGTAAAACAAGCCGACACTGAAACTGGGGACTAAAAACCACCCGTCAACGACACATGTTCATCCATCATTTGTCGCGACACGACGTTTTTTCTCTCGTTCACGTCAATTGAGACAAACGAGCTTTCATTCGTGGTGATGACGATGGTCTCGGGTCCGGCAACAGAAACCTACCGGTCAAACGAACTACCATTCCTTGCGAAGCAACCAAAAAGATTCGTCTTCGTCACGCCCTTTTAGCTTCTCCAGTTCGTCAAGTCATTCTTCGTGACTTGCCGTGCTTGGAGTCGACACAGGCCCACAGGCTCACCGTTTCGTCCCAACGCGTAACCTCATCTCTCTGTCTCGCTGCGAAACAAGAAGAGGGGGGAGAGTTTCTGGGAGTCGTCAATCGATCCCAAGGATTACAATGGCGAGGCCTGCGAACAGGATTATTAATGCCAAGCTGGTGGGTACGTCTCGCCCCTCCGTTCTTGTCTTCGCCTTCTTTCATACTGGGCAGTTTCTTGGTGATCTGAGAAATGGGTACAGGATCCACTAATCCAGCTAAAATTAGAAACTTTCATTGAGTTCAGTTGCTTCTGTGCTCGAGGATGTTCTTTTGCTCTTGTTCCTTTTATGTGCCTAATATCCTCTGTTGGGTTTGCAGCGACATTCGGATGATGTATTCTCGTGTCGTGGATGAGATCCGATTGTGATGAATGAGGGGACTATATATAACACTGTGTCCATTGACCTTCTCATTGTTATGAGGACGGATCCATGCAACTGGGTCGAAATCCTCATAAATGCTTTGTCTATGGAATCACAACGCATCGCCTGGATAAGTAGTTTGGTGGATGAGTTGCATTTGCAGGGGATGCGTTCTTAGAACTGAATTGGGAGGGTTCCAACTTCGATTGTATTTTCTTTCTAGGCAGCTCCGCAGCCTTATAGCACCGGAGTTCTTTCTTGGTTCCTTTTTTATTTGAGTGGGGGTTTTCGTTATAGTTGCTAATTAGAATTGCAATACGGCAATCCAAAATTCTGTGGTTTTTAATCAAAATTGCCGTGAGCACTCTGTTTTGTGCATTTACTTGTGCCTACCATTGTTAATCCGTTGGCAGCAAAATCCTGACTGTAGGCCTTTAACTTAATACAAGCAAGAGGAATCGACGATCACATCCACATGAAGTTACTCTCTTTTGCCATGTTTTTTGTTTGAGCTTATTTAACATTTCAATTTTCAAGACTAAGCTCATCAATTGAAAATCCAATGCTCGGACAAAATCTTTTCTGCCATGTTTCCATTCAATTCTCTGTGCTTCTGTTTTTTGCAATGGCAAGTTGCGATCTGGTCCTGCAGCTTTTTTGTTGGTCTTGTGTTGATTTTTCAGAAATATATCTACGAGTCAAGAGTTCATAGTAAGTTAGTAACTAATAGTGTTGCTTAGATATTGGGCCTAACTGCCTGCAAAATTATGATCTGAATACCATCTGCTCCCAAGGTTATGGTCGAGTTACATTATTTCACGCTCGTCTATTTTAGGTGCTCCTGGGGGACATGGGAACTGGGAAAACAAGTTTGGTGCTGAGATTCATAAAAGGCCAATTCTTTGATAGCCAGGTCAGGTTCCTTTCGTCTCTTTACATAGAATTTGGTCTCGCTTGTCTTATCAGATCTTACAGCTCATCAAAACCCAACTGCAGGAACCAACAATTGGAGCTGCATTTTTCACCCAGATATTGTCATTAGCCGAAGCAACGGTTAAGTTTGACATATGGGACACAGCAGGACAAGAACGATATCACAGCTTGGCCCCTATGTATTATCGAGGAGCGGCAGCTGCAGTTGTTGTATATGACATATCAAGCGTGGTATAAATTAGTTATAGCCCTGTTATTGCACAGAGTTAACTAGATGTTCTTAGCACTACTGATTTCATGCAACTAAAAGCGAGTCATAAACCCGCCATCATTGAACTATAGGAGTGCCTTGAGCTTTGTGACAATCTGCTATGCATTAGCAGTTACATTGAGGGTTCTGCTTTTAGCCCTCCAGGTCATCGAAGGATATATGAGATGCAATCAGGTCATTCAAGCGATGCATTTAGCAGTACATAGGTATAGATTTGATTGTCTCAAAAGCTGGCCCTCTACAATAATCAGGGGTTGCTCTCTCAGGCTACGTCATTAACCTTCATGCCATCTCTTTCTCATTTGTGACTGATTCTAGATGAGCAATTGGTGCCGTGAGGAAGTATAAAGCATATTACATTCTTTTCCTTGACTTGTAAATTGTTTTCCCATACAGCCCTTGAATCACAGTCTAAATATGCCTTAAATTTGTCAGTTATGCTTGGAAACAAAGAAACATCTGTTCGGGCAACTTTAGTTGTAAACTTTGTAAATACGCAACTTCTGCTGTTTGAGTTAATATGGGAAGTTGCACTTTTGTGTTTGTTGATGGATGTGCATGCACCCATTGCACCAGGACACATTTGTTCGAGCCAAAAAATGGGTTGAAGAACTGCAAAAACAAGGTAAGGCCATGACGCTTATTCTTGATGAAGTTATTGATTCATGTATACTATTTAGGTTCACAAGACCGAACTGTAGGTCCTTCATTGCCAATTGATCTTGTTTAGTGCAAAGGTGTATTAATGTTACGATAGTGACCTTCACCTTTCATTCTTCCTTTTCTGTTGGGCTGTTATAGAACTTGACGGTTCACAAAATCCAGAACACAAGTTACGATCCTATGAGTCATTCTTGTTAGCATTTTAATCTCTAACCAGTATAGAATTTACTTATTGTTGTCACGGTACAGCTTTCAACTTGGCCCTGTTATATCGTTTTGCTTTTCCTCAGAGCAAAATATGAGTAACTAGTGGCATTAGTAATCAACTTTTACTTCTGATCGTTGTATTGTGATTGATTTGTTGTTTCTCAATCATGTCAAATGCTTGTTTCTCTCATAGGAAACACGAATCTAGTGATGGCGCTGGTGGCGAACAAATCTGACCTGGATCCGAAGCGCGAAGTGCAAAATGAGGTACTCGCAGAATCTGTGTTTACCATGCTTGAGTAGAATAATATAAGAGGATGCTTAAATAGCCTAGATTTGGCAAGACGTCTATCATTGATCTCCCTTCTTACACAATGCTCACTACATTATTCGGTGTTTTATGCAAGATAGTTCAGCAGAGACAACATCTTCATAAAACCTTATGAAATGTACATGTATATACATCCATAACCATGCCTGTCCAAAAGTATAGTGGTCCATTGTTCTTAAAGATAAAACCTACTTGGAAATCAACAAATTTTTTTTGAGAGAAACAGTGCAGAGCTGTCTCTTTTACCAAATTTTTTAGGGCATCATGAAATGGTCTTTGCACTATGACCATCTTATGAAGACAAGTCGCGAAGCAAACCTCCTGTGGTGTTGCATTTGATATCAGTGCACTTCAAATGGGTTTGCAGTTCCTTCAGATATGATTGAGTTTATACTCATCTGTATTCACTGCAGGACGCAGAGCAATTTGCTCAAGAAAATGGGATGTTCTTCATAGAGACTTCAGCCAAAACTGCACAAAATATCAACAACCTTTTTTTTGAAATTGGTGAGCTTTACCTTGTGATCACATAATGCACATTGCAACCACTAGACTCCTATAACTGCGTCAATATTTATCTTGCTAACAGTGCTCGCCCATCTATCTTCTTTTTCCGTCTCCAATTCACTTAATTTTCAGCTCAAGTTACATCTCTTTACTGTTTCATGATTCGTTCCTTCTTTTGCTATTTTTTGCAGCAAAGAGATTGGCAAGAGCCTTACCACTAAGGACTAACGGGATAAACTTGAGCAGTGAAAAAGAAGAGAAGCGAAGAAAACGTTTCTGTTGCATTGGGTGACCTGACAGCTGCGCCGGGAGTGATAGGATCACCAAGGTTCATGTATATATCACGTGTGTGCTTTTTCTTCGGACACCGTTCTTGTAGTGTCCTGCTCTCTTGTACTTTTCAAATCCGTGTAAATTATTTGCACTTCGGTCGCTCACTTGCTTTATAAGGATCTGTCAGCAGTTGTACAAGAAGCCACACCAACACGAAATTGTCACTAATGGAGAGAGTTAGGAAAGAAATGATCTCTCTCTGTTCGATTAGGATGTCATATTCATGAAGTCTCTTTGAAACAAGTACAAGTAAACAAAGTAAAAGATGCATCCCACGCAGCAACTGTGCAATGTGAGGCTGAAATCATCTGATGATGAGCTTACTGGTAAAACTCTGAAAAAAAAGAAAAGAGAAGACGACGACCTACATAGAAAGGTACTGCACCTCGTAAATGCCCCGGTAATGTTACATTGCTTTGATATTTATAAGAAGCATTCAATAATATATTGAAAAGAACCCTTTGAGAGCAGCAATACACGCTGCCAAATCGTCATAGTCCGGAAGATTAGGATGAACATGTCCGGCTGTAGCGAAGTGGACCGGCAGTGCCCTTTTGCCAACTCAGTGCCCTCGGCTGGAGTGGTCGGCTCCAGCGGAAGAGATGCCATTTTCCTGGTACATTCGTAGCTTTGGCGGTGGTTTTAGAGACCCCTTTGGTTCGCTCAGGTCGTAACGAGAGTGCTTTTTACCGTAGTGCAGCAAGAGCCTGTCTAACCTCCTTTCTTCTTCATCAATGATTTGTGTGGCTCGGGAGGAGGTCAGCTCAAATTCACGACCTGAGGGCAGTGGTATTAGGGGTGTGCAAAATGGACCGCCCGGTTTGGTCCGGTTCCCGGGAGTGTCGGTCCGGTTCCCGGTTCCAAGGGGGAACTGGACCGGACAGGATCGGATCGACCGGACCGGACCGACTATGTATATATATATTATTTTATTTTCTTCAAAAAAATTAGTAAAATATGAACTAAACCTTAAGTGAACTTCATTGACAAAAATTAGTAAAATGTGAACTAAATCCTAAGTGTTTGACCAAAAAAAAAAAAAAAACTAATCCCTACATGACCTGTTCCATTGGACCGGACCGGACTGGTGGTCCGGTACCGGTCCGGTCCAGTTCCTGGTCCTAGGACCAACCGGTGCGGTCCCCAGTTCCCAATTTTGGGAACCGGTTCTCCCGGTCCGATTTCCGATTCCACCTTGGAATCGGACTGGACCGGGAACCGATCACCCGTAGGTGGTATCGGGCGCTACTTGATTGACATTGGCTTCGGCTTGGCTTCACCTAACGGGTTCTTAGCTTCGCAGTTCTTATCAACAATCTCAGAATCAGTATTTTTCAGAGGTTCATCGGTAATGCTTCTGTTTCTTTCTGTCTAGGCTTTGACATAAGGAGGAGGGATGTCTCTATAGCTTAATGGCTTCTTATGAGATAGCATGCAGGATCCCATCAACAGAGCCGTGATGAGATATCTGCTTTGGCACGGCCCTGGCCCTACCCCCACCGGGGTCTCTGAGCCCTCGTCTTCCTCCCATCCCTTTTTGCCTTGATTTTTTCTTTCGAGTCTCTCTCGCCTCGCTTTTTGTACATCTTAAAAGTGATCCATCTATCCGCAGCCATCTTTCTCACTTTCTCGGTTATCTCTACTGCAATTTGTTGGTTATACAGCTTCCTAAGACCCTGCATGAGCTTAGCAAATGTACCTGGCTGCGGCATTACATCTGCATCTATCATGTCCAAGCAATATGAACATGCCTCTTTAACATGCCCATTTGAGAAGAGCGCATGAATCCAGATTGTCCAGGTGTAAACATTGAGATCACATCCTATAGTCACAGTGCAGTTCCAAATGTCTTTAGGCATTTCAAGTTTTTCAGCTCTTAAAAGAGAATTTAGCATGTCTTTCAATGTGCCATAACTATGAGCTGATAGAAGACCTCTTCCCACCATCTCTTTAAAATAATCGCATGCTTCAACTAGATGACCGTGTGCAATGAGTCCATGAATCATGATAACAAAACTGTCCAGACCTGGACGAAGCCCACTTGCTTCCATTTGATTCCAAAGCTTAACACCTTCCTTAATCTCGGCCAGCTTACACACTAACCTGATCACCACATCGTAGATGCTAACGTCGGAAAGACAACCAATCTTCTTCATTTCATTGATGAGTTCTAAACACTCTTCCAGCTCCTCCTCCTTCTCATGAGCCAACATTATATGCAAATAAGTTGTTGCACATGCGGTATGACCTTGCTGTATCATCCTATCCAATAGCTCGTAAGCGCTATCAAGTTTACTGCACTTGCAAAAGCCACTAATCAGTGTAGCGTACGTCACACCATCTGCCTCGCAGTTGCTCCTGTGCATCTCAAGCAACATGCAGACAGCCTCCTCCATTTTTTCTCGGGAACAGAGAGCTTGTATTAGGGTAGTATAAGAAGCTGCGTTAGGCTCACAACCCTTTCGCTTCATCTCTTTCAACAGATTGCATGCATCCACCATTTTCTGCGCTCGTGCCTATCTGCTCAGGAGATTGTTGTAGACCACAATATCAGGTTCGAAACCAGCATCTCTCATTTGCACCAACACATGTTTTGCCTCCATAAGCTTCCCTTCTCTGCACCAGACATAGAGCAGTGATGTGAAATACCTAATACCTGGTGTGAACCGATATTTCATTTCTCCGAACAAAGCAGCTGCTTCTTTTACACTACCAATTTTACACAAAGCATCCAACAAGCAACCGAACGCATATTCATCTGGGGCAAACTCATCACGCCTTCCAGATTCTTGTAAGGCAAGCTCCATTTTGGGAGCTCTAGAGTAAAACTTCCTCAGAATCCTGTATATCTTTTCCGCATCTGCGGCAAACTCATCATGCCTTACTTCATCTGCACAATCATCATGGATGCTTTCAAGGTAGACAAGGTCAGGTCCAGTTTTTGAGTCTGCTTGAGAAGTGTTGCGGTTCCCAGGTATGGTTGGTGTGTAATTTGGATCGGGTTGTTACGGGATTTCAAAGGAACGAAACTGTTGATGAGTAGAGGGTGTAGAAGATATTCGAGAACAACTTCTGTACCAAAGAGGAAGTGTTCTCGAATTGAAATGCATTTTCACTTTCAACTTTTCTTATTGCCATTGAATATTTTGAATTATAGTATCACCTCATTGGCCTCTCATCCTTCCACTCTAGAATCTACCCAGCTCCAAACAAAATGAAATTTGCACGAGCAACAGATTAAGAATAGTGACAGAAATCAAAGTTTACCATATAGATAAATAACAAAGTTCAGTCACAAAATTCATGCGCTCAACATGGTTTCAGGAAGAAAAATAAAGAAAGATTCCTGGGTCATTTATCAAACAGGTGGCGTGCATAGCGACTGCGGCTGCATCAAGGGCCACAGGATCTGCCCGGAGCTCAAATCAGCAGAATAATACTTACCCACAATGCAAAGGTTCGCAAAACCGGTCTGTGCATCATCGACCGAAATGGTGGAAGCCCCCAGCTCCTAGACGACGATCTGCAGGTGAAACTGGAAAGTGATAGCTTATCGATCGTGGGCTGGTCGCGAGCGCTTATCAGAGCCCATGGAGTATTACGGGCTATCTGTTGACGAATGCCGGAGGAATTTGGCCCAATTCAAGAACACGACGTTGGCCCATTCTCCGCGAGAAGGAAAAAATAAAGTGGGCCGATTTGGATTGCTAAAAGCTTATCGTATGTTCCTGCTCAAATTCGTAAAAAATACAACAGAAACTCGTATCCTTCCGTATTTTGCGCAAATATTTATCTTGCTTACAGCGCTCGCCCTTCTATCTTCTTTTTCCGTCTCCTGTTCACTTAAATTTCAGGCTCGGTTTACGTTCGCTGTTTCATGATTCCTTCCTTCTTTTGCTATTTTTTTGCAGCAAAGAGATTGGCATGACAGCTGCTCCGGGAGTAACAGGATCACCAAGGTTCATGTATATATCACGTGTGTGCCCCTTTTCTTCGGACACCATTCTTTTAGTGTCCTGCTCTCTTGCACTTTTCAAATTCGTGTGAATCATTTGCACTTCGGTCGTTCGCTTGCTTGATAAGGATCCGTCAGCAGTTGTGCAAGAAGCCACACCAACACGAAATTGTCACCAATGGAGGGTGTCAAGAAGGAAATGATCTCTCTCTGTTAGATTAGGATGTCATATTCATGAAGTCTCCTTGAAACATGCACAAGAGAACAAAGTGAAAGATAGCATCCCACGCAGCAACTGGGCAACGTGACGCTGAAGTCATCTGATGATGAGCTTACAGGCGAAACTCTAAAAACAAGAAAAAGGTCAAAAACGAGAAGACGACGACCTACCTAGAAAGGTGCCACGCCTAGTAAATGCCCCAGTAGTGTTACAATGTCTTTAATATTGATAAGAAGCATTCAATTAAATATTGAATAGAATAACGGTAAAGAATCTAAACGCTCTGGCTCTGTCCTGTTTTTATCTCCCTCTGAGAGCAGCAATCCGCGATGCCAAATCGTCACAGTCGGGAAGATTAGGATGAACGTGTCCGGCCAAAATGTCCGGCTGTAGCGAAGTGGACCGGCAGTGCCCTTTTGCTAACTCGGTGGCCTCGGCCGGAGCCGTCGGCTCCGGTGGAAAAGACGCCGCTCTAGCTGGTGCAGCAAATACATCAGATTTTGTGCTCTTGCGCTGCATGGGTTCGCCATTTTCCTGGTACGTTCGTAGCTTAGGAGGCGGTTTTAGAGACACCCTTGGTTCGCGCTGGTCGTTAGGCGATTGCTTCTTACTGTAGTGCATCAAGAGCCCATCTAACTTCCTTTCATCTTCATCATCGATTTGTATGGTTCGGGAGGTCAGCTCGGATTCACGACCTGGAGGCGGTGGTAACGGGCGCTGCCTGACTGACCTCGGCTTTGGCTTGGCTTCACCTACTGGTTTCTTAGCCTTGCAGTTCTTATCAATAAGCTCAGAAGCAGTATTTCGCGGAGGTTCATCGGTCATGCTTCTGTTTCTTTCTGTCTTGGTTTTGACATAAGGAGGAGGGACGTCTCTATAGCTTAACGGCTTCTTATGACTTGCTTCTTCCTCGGACGGGCTTCCGGATGAACTTGAACTGTACTTAGGCTTGTCTCTGTGGGGAAATTCCTTTTTAGGTGGAGAAATCACTTCGGCCTCGCTGCTGCTGCTGCTGCTGCTGCTCAGCTTATCTATGTCGTCTGTGACTTCTTTTCGTCCGAAAAAGGGAAGGTTGCTTCCATTTCTTTTGGATGCAGAAGGATCAAGCATGTCCTTCTGTGGTTTGTCTTCAGCATAGTCACTCTCTCTTTTTGAGTCAGCACGGTCCTCACTTTTATGCTGCTTATACTCGTTGTCAGCGGTGTTGCCTGAAGACCTGACTTTGGATTTGTCCTGACAAAAGATGAAAGTTCCAATTTGGCTTGCATTAGTAGAATGGCTAGGATAATAATAAGAAAAAAGAAACGTGAGACTACGAACAGGCGAAGAATCAGTTTTTTTGACAGCATGAGGCCTACAACTCCAATTCGTGCTAAATTGTTTCTTTCATTTAGTCAGGTAATTATATGATTTCACAACAAAAGCAGGAAGGGCAATGCTATTCCAGTGTAAAATGGATGCTGCAAATAATTGATGAAGCGATGGGCTCACTTGATCATGTGGAGTTGGGTTAAATAGCTTCTGCTCCAATGCCTTGGAATCCCAGTCCACAGAGAACTCAAGAGCAATGTCGCGCATCAGCTGAAGCTTCATATCCTTGGTGCGCTGCGGCGACCTCATTTTCTCGACAAACTGCACCCGACAAATTAGTAAGTCACAACAATGAATAAAGTAACAAATAATGAGAAATTGACAAAGTTATTTTCAAGCTACGGAGATGATTACTCTACCTCATTATTAACAAAGGGTTCGAGAGATTTTCCGTAACGATCTGCAAATAAACTTCGCAGCTCACGTAGTTCCGGCAGATCAGCAAATCGAGCAGCAGCATACATTAGAGAGGCTATGGCCTCTCGGCATTCTTCAGGGCATTCACTGAGAAGAACAGAAAACGGCGTGTGCTAATTAGTTCACGTACAAATGTATGGGAGCGAAAACAAACTTGAATGTGTTGGAATTAGATCGTTAACATAAAGATCGGTATCCGTAGATACCTCTGCTTCTCCAATACTGGTAGTTGACCCAATATGCACACACAGAATTGCTCGACGAGATGGTAGCACGAGGTCATGTTCTGCTCGACGAGAAGACCTTCGGCCTGCTTCCACATTCACCTCATCTTATTAGTTCGGACTCATAGAATCGAAATGTTCACATACAATCACAATTATTGTATCTGACTGAAAATTGCACGACATTTCAACAAATGTCTCGGATTTCACAATCAAATGTGGCTTGCATTCATCGGATAGCAGGCGCGTTCAGAACGAGTTTTCCGGGCCCAGAGAAACAGCCTATATTGTCCAAACATGTGATCGCATGATTTGATCAAGAAGAAGACTCCAAACACAGGGTAATTCGATTTACTGTTGTGCAGGACAAATAAGCGATTGTCCGGTGACATTTGTCAACAAGAGTCCCAAAAAGGATGAAACAAAAAAGATAAAACAAAACCCATTAATATTTGATTTCAGCACTTGGAAGATCCGATGAAAGAAGGTTCTGTCAAGGATCAGATAGAAACGGTCAAAACGTCATCTTCTCCACGCAGAGCTCCAAAACATAAGGCCGATTTCACAGCTAAAACATAGCAATTGAGATCGACCGCAAATTAACACGGAATGGATAAGCCTTGGCGAGTCGGGACCCGATTTTCGACGCCGTGCGAAAAGAGCTGGCCGGATGAACGTAAAACTTCAGAAAGGAAGGAAGTCAAGAAATCAAAAATTACCCTGCCGTAGGCATTGGTGTCGAGACCATTCCTGAGGAGATCGGCAATGTCCTTTTTCAAGTACTTCTCCACAGCATTCCTCTTCTTCATTATCGTCTCCAACCGCGTCTTCGTGAGCTTTATCGCCGTCTTGCTAAAAATCCCAGAAAACAAAGAAGAAGAGGAAGAATCCCAGAGAAAATCAGATGAAGCAGAGGATCAGCAGCAAAGAATGTGCAAAGAAAAAAAAAATAGAAAGCAACAAACTCACGTGCAAAAGAGAAAAAAAGAAAGAAAGGGCGGAACAAGGAAAAGAAATTCGCCGTACCATTTGTTATGGAACTTCGATTTCAATAAACTGTCGAACATTGTGGATGGCCGCTCTTAGCTTTGAGGCCTCCGGAGGGGGAAAGGAAAGAACGGGGGAGAGAGGGAGAGAGAGAGAGCAAAAGACGAAACCTTTGGGGGGTTCAAAAGAGAGAGCGAGCGAGAGAGAGATTGATAAGGAAGGTGAGTATCGCTCAACGGGCGATTTGTTTGATGGCCAAGTTAAGGAAAGAACAAGCGCGTCGCCTGTAAAAGGCAACCCAAGATACGCCAAGAATCTGCACCCAGGAAGCTCAAAACAGAAACCATTACGGGTATTACAGTTCCTCACAGAGAGAGAGAGATGGGTGGTCAATTCAAGAATCTGAATTTGGGCAGGAAAATCAAGAAGCAGAGAGAGAGAGAGAGAGAGAGAGAGAAGTGATCAAGATTTATATGAATGGTGGGTCGATGTGCATGTATAGTACGGTGAAATGGGCAGGAAGAAGTTTAGAATTGGTCTGGTTCGTCAATGTAAAGAAACGCAGAATCTGCAGCATTTGGCAAAAAGAAGCTCAAAAGGAAGGTATCGAAAGCTGGCAGGCATGGCGCCGAACAGAGAGAGAGAGAGAGAGAGAGAGTGCGGTTTGCCACGTCGGACATGCGTCTCTCTCTCTACAACCACGACAACAGCAAAGGTTTGGCGGGTTTTATGAAGCCGGAGGGGGGGGGAGGGGCGTGGCGAAATTACGGATTTGGTGTTGGGGGGGTTTAGACGGAGAGGCCGCTCCCGCGGCGCGTGAAGTGAGGGCATTTTGGGAAGTTCGGGGCGAAGCGAGGGGTTGGAAGAAAAACCGCCGGCCGGGAAGTCCAACGGTCGGCCGTTGGCTGTACTGGCACTGGCAGATGTACCGGCTTTCCCAAAAAAGAAAAAGAAAAAGAAAGCAACTTGATTAATTTTGCATTTTCCAAAGTGATATTGACTTATTAAGTAAGAATATTAATGACTTCATTTTGTCTTTAATATCTACAAGAATAGACAATGGCCACCGACTTTTAATCGATCCCGAGATTGTTATCACACGCAAATCCACCTTATAAAGTGATGTTTAGAGGAGTTAATAACCGTAAAGATGTTTATTTTCCTCGTGCTAATCGGGGAAAAAAAGCTATTATTACCATTATCGGGGTTGATAGTTTCAGCTACGGTTGCCATATATGCTGCGATAAAATATGTCGAAACATGGGTTTTGGTTATTTCTATTCTTTTTAGTAAAATAGGATAAGACGAAAACGGAATTTCTCTATTCCAAGTGAAGAGATCAATCAACCCGGTCCAAAAAATTTGATGACGAAGGAATGAAGGAAAACGTGCGGCTGGAATTCAATGGCTCCCCTTGATTCGACGGGCTTGCATCAAACGATGATGAAAGAACATCATCGAATTATTTCATTTACTTAATTTAAGGGAGATGTTGCACGAGAATGGGCAATTGAAAAACGCTGTTGTCCCAGTAGATTATTGAGCAAGGAAATTGCGCCAACTAGTTTTCTACATTTTTCCATCCCACGAAAAAGAATTAATAAATGGAACATGTATTTTGTAATTTCGATTCTTTACTGAAACGGGATAAGATGATCTTAAAACGAAATTTCTCTATTCCAAGTTAAGAGATTAATTGACCCAGTCCAAAAAATTTGATGACGAAGGATTAAAAGAAAACGTGCAGCTGGCCTTCAATGGCTCCCCCTGATTCGACGGGCCTGTGTCGAACAATGATGAAAGAACATCATCAAATTATTTCATTTGCTTATTTTAAGGAAGATGTGTACGAGAATGGGCAATTGAAAAATGGGGTTGTTCGAGTAGATTATTGAGCAAGGAAACTGCACCAACCATTTTTCTTCCTTTTTTCCATCCCACGGAAAAGAATTAATAATTGGGTTTAGGCTCACAAATTCAAATGTTAATTATTTTCCAGCCAAGATCAAGGGTTTGGCCCCTCGTTTACCATATGATACTAGGTATTAATTAATCTATATAAAAATGGGTAGGACCAGGGAATCTGGTCATGATGAAAAAATTCCTTTTATTGAACCAATCTTAACCAAAAGGTCCTAAACAACTGTTTTTTCTTTTGTGGTGGGCGCGCATAAATTTGATCTTAGTATCTAAGGAAAGGATCAAATTAAGAGTTATACTCACAGTCATATCGAGGCTAACTTGATTGAGCTTTGTTAAAGCATCTCATGTTGCTTGCTGATGGGGTTTATATACTCTTTTTACTCATGCGATATTCTTTGATCGATTAGTTAATATCTTTATATTGAATTTATTAACATAATATGATGGTCAGGTTTTGCCTCAATTCATACCGCTTCGGTCGAATTTCGCGTGTGCTTTTCCTAACAATTTTCTATTCGAAGCCACATCGGCATGCACGTGGCATTACCCACTTTTTTAACGTAGGATGCGAGTCGACCATTTGTTTATTCATTCATAGAAGGTTCGTTGTTTTGCTTACTAGACCACAGCTGTGGAATGTTGGGCAACACCTGGCGATTGCTTGCTCGAAGTGCAAAAGATCTTCTCCTTCCATTTTCGCATTTTAATAATCGGTGCGCCGGTTATTATTATTATTCTCGAAAAATTCAGATTGCTTTTCGAGCCATTTGATTCGGCTTTTGGGTCCTAAAGGCGGTCAATCAATCACCTTTACTCAATCAACCTAGTCCCAAAACTTTCCTTTCCCTTTGTCTTTCTCTAGCGGCCGGATGGTTATATCGAGCCGCTTCCGCCAGTCCGGCCGAAGCCATCACTCGATTCACGTTAGGCTTTATCCATGCAAACCCTAATCGAATCTCGATGCTTAAATTCTCGATGCTTTTCGGGTGGAATTTAAATATCTTTCTCGAAATTTCTTGTGCTGCCTGCCTGATTTATGGCCATGAATATCTGTTGACTCAAGGGTCGTGGGCATGGTCAAGATAGAACCACTGTACAGTGAAAACTCACAATGATTACATATGGCATTACTCTGGTTGGTGCCTTGCATCTCGGAGCCCTTGATATGTTTGTTGAGAGAAAAAGCCGAGATCTTAGGATTAATTTATGGGGTTGTCCGATAAACAAAGACGAGGAAGATCAGCTCGCACATTCGAACATGGAACGTCGATTCCTTCCTTTAATTATGTATAAACTGTTGATCATCATTGCCCGCACAACATCACGGGTTCGGTGCAGAAGAATAATAGCTTTTGTTTGTCCCTACTGCTGCCGTGTGATCGATGCCTTCACGCCATCGAATCGGGGGAGTTGTTCTGGATTCCGCAAAGGATTAGTTTCTATTCGTGACGAAGGAAACGGGTCTCCGCTTGGTTATCCCGCTTCTCGTGCATGTTTTTAAGGATTGCAAGCATGTCGTACCTGTAATTTGTGTGAAGAGGGAGCTCCGTTGCGTTTTTCGCTCTCTTTTTTTTCTCGCGATGTGTCCGGACGCAAATGATGTGCCGACGGTTAGTTACGTGCCTCTTGAGGTGACAATTCGTAGGAAGGACGAGCGCGATAATGTGAGTTTTGTAAACGATCGGGGTAAAGTGATTGGATCCTATGAAATGATCGACTGATGCACGGGTCGGGTTCCTTTTTTTATTTTCCACTGACTTTGCTGACTCTATCCCTGGACCATAATGACGTCGGATTAGGACAAAGAAAATTCAATCGCTTCGTGCTTTCCTCCGATCTAGATACAAGAGTAGACCTCTAGACAAACCAATCTAGTGCGCTAAGTGAGGGATCGCATTCGAGTTCGACATTATGAAAGTGCTTCCATTAGGTCCACTATTGGGAAAGGATATTACGTGTATATACATACATGCAATCAATGTTGCACGATCAAGGAACTTTTTCCAGTTGATGAAAGACCGAAAGAAACTCCAAGAAGAAGAAGGAGGAGAAGGAGAAGGAGAAGAAGGAGAGAAAATTATCCCAAAAGTCTTAAATTTATTACACTTTTGCGAATTCAATCTTAAACGTAGGACGGCCGCATCCAAATCATTGATTTCCGGCCAAAATTAATCGGATGGACTCTATTGGCAAAATGTGAAATAGATGTATGACTGAATTGGCAAAAATATAATAATTTTAGTACTTTTTGGACAACTTTCACAATAGAAGAGTTATGTTTCTCAACAAATTAAAGTATGCCAAAGCAAGCAAAGAGTCGACCAATTGGATGCTTGCAATTCTATAAGCTAAAGAGCCTATGCTAAATTGATGCATGGATAGCCAAATGCTAGAGACCAAAAGTATTGCATGAGCAGTCAAACTCTAGAGGCCAAAAGTATGCCAAATCAAAGCTAGAATCGACCAAGTGTGTGCTAATAACTATGTTTCTATTACATTGATGCATGGACAGCCAAATGCTGGAGGCCACAAGTATGCCAAACCAAGCTAAGAATCCACCAAATGTGTGCTTGCTTGCAACTCTATAAGCTAAAGCACCTATATTATGTTTGATGCATGGACAGCCAAATGCTAGCGACTGGTCTCTTTTAGACCTTTCCTTTGTATAAAGCAAAAGACAACCTACTTGAAATGGCCTTTCGTGACAAGTGGTCAAAGGACCAACAATGCTATACCAATGGAGATGGAGACCAAGAATCCCTACTTTACATACACACACTTATTATTTGCACCTAATCAACGAGGGTGATTTTAGTGGAAAGTTCAAAGCAAATTAGCTCAAAGGGAAAAAAGAGCAATGAGAGAGCAGCTAGCAATTAGGGGTAGGTCTTGCAATGATTTATAATGGTTGGTGACAATAATGAATTTTTGCTTTCATTGATGTGGGTTCTAGTGATAAGGAAAGTGCCAATGGATAGGGTCCTATGATGCCACGTGGCTTGAGACACAACAGATAACCTCAGTCAAACCTCACTCTCGACAACATTCGAAGTTGAGAATTTATCGATATCACTTGTCAATTGCGATCCGCTGATCTAAAGTAGGGAGACGCGATCCGCTGATCTAAAGTAGGGAGCATCGTCGCTGATCTAAGGTAGGGAGTATCGTCTCACCGAATTCCACGATCCATTCTAAGGTAGGGAGCATCGTCTCACCCAATTCCACAATCCATTCACGAAAGCGAAATACATCCACTGTTATGGGGCAGCCTGTATCACTATACTATCACTAATCTTTGGAATTATTCTGTATCATCAACGACTATTCCAAAAGTCCCGAAGATTAAATGGGGTTTTAATGTAATGCGGATGTTGTTGCCTTTTTATTAATTGGCTTGCTTGTGGGTGATATCAATGTCTATCCTTTGTAACCCACAAATAAAGAGCGACTGGTCGGAGGG